ACGGCTCTGACCTTGGTGCTGTGGGGCCCTCAGTCACCACTCCCCCAAGGGCCTGTCCCCACCACATCCCTAGGACAATCAGTCCATCCTTGGCTCCAAATCTGAAGGAAACCAAGAGGAAACAGGACAAGATACAGAGAACATACAATTCTGAGACTCTGGGGAGAACAAAGATGTAGGGAGGGTGGAAACAGAGAAACCATCACAGGCAACAGAGCAAAAAGCCCCGAAGAATCTGAGCTTCGGAGTCTGCCAGACCTGGGTTCAAATCTGGGTTTCCATGCCTACACATGACCATGGGCAATTCAACCCTTCAGTCCAATGTTCTCCCCTGTCAAACGGGGCCTGGGGGGCGACTACAACCTCATCGGGCTGTTGTGAGGATTAAACAAGGTGACGCCCATGAAAATGTATCTGGCGCATGGCATGTGCTCAGAAAGTTACCTTCCCTTCTCGGACATTTCCGTGGACAGAGATTTCCGTTTCCCCCGGGAAACCTCTCCCTGGTTAGAACTCTCCACCACTAACAGGGTCTTCACGTGTCCAATGGGAGCTGCTCAGAGCTTGCTTTGTCTGCTTCCTGTTGCTCAGCACTGGGTGGGACAGAGAGCTCAGCAGCCTTTTCAGAGGATCCCTCAGACACTTGAAGAACACATTTGCGTTTTAGCTCCATAGCAACCAATCCTACCTTAAGGCGAGAGAATGGTACTGTTAGGGAGCGGGGTGTGGACGAGGTCTGAGCTCAGAGTGAGGACTGTCCGCAGTGCAAATTCAACTGGTAAAAGCCACCCTTTGAGGGAAAAGAACCTTCTAGGGTCTGCTGGACACTTCGTAATGAATCTTTACTGTGTGCCAGGCGTTGTGCTAGTTGCTTTAAACACATTTAAGTGTCACAGGAGCCTGTGAAGCAGTGATGATGATCACACTTTTCCTTCCCTGATGGGGAAACTGAGGCTGACGTTCACAGAGCCAGGAACTAGGCCCGTGTCTATACCCAAACAAAACTGAATTCCCTCTCTAGACTGAGGTTGCAGACGCAGGCTCCACAATAAATAGCGTTGATCTGAGACCGGAGGGATTAGCTTCAGGAACTTTCAGTTGCTAAAGACTCTGGGATGCCGAAGCAGCTAGAACGTGCAATGTCCTTTCCTGAATGCTCTACCATCCGGCACCCTTTGGGGAGTACGGACCCTTAACACACATGGAAAGGTTGACTCCTGCAACCTTTCAGGGCACGCGTGACCATTTTCTATACCTCTGCCGTGTCCGCTCCTGCTTTTACGGGGCGTGTTTATAATCTGTTAGAGAGGGTGCTGTTTGAAAAGTGGAAGGAAGCATGTCTGTTTTACAAGCCATAGGTAAGAAATGTGTGCCGACTGACTATATGAATTAAAAATTTCTTTAGGATAAGCTGCGAAGCACCACAGGTTCAGAACCATCATGAGGTGGAAGCAGGTGTGTGCGCTGGTTGCCCTGTAGACAGCGGGGCCCAAGGCTAGTTTCTCCCCGGGGATAGGTAGCACCCTCCCTGGCAGAGCTCAGCTATGTCCTTCTCTAGAGAGATAGCCCTGGGTGTTTTCACGTAAAGAGGGCCTCTACTCTAGGGCTGAGGGCAAAGCTTATATTTGAATTATGAAAAGGAACACTTACAAGTAAGGGCCAGTGTATATAAGTCAGCAAGTGGTGAAGGGTTAGCATATATATTAGAATAAATAAAACAACGATGAAGAGTTCCAGAACTGTGATTGCTATGAATGACTCTTGGGCTTCAGAGATGATGAAACAAGTTAATGCTGCTATGAGAAGACCCTGCAGTAAAAGAAACAGGTTTTTTGTTTTAATGCACATGGACCATGAAAAAACACACACACGTCATAAATTGTCAAATGCAAATCTGATTATATTGAAATTGCCTGTATGGTCTTGAACATACACTTTATTTCTTAAAAAATTTTGTACTTGTAAGAAATGAAATAATACACACAAATACTGAAATTGCACACAGTAGAGGAGGGGAAAAAAATGTCAGTTCCTTTCACCTCCCTTAACCCAACCCTAGTCTGTCTCCTTAAAAGTAGCCACTGTTAACAGTGTATATATATTTTTTTTTACCAGAAAGAAGTATGTATATACAGATAGAGAAAGTAGATATTGATTCTGATGGAGTAAGGGAGAAGTCTAGCTTGCTTTCTCTCCAAATAGCTGCGGATGATCCCAACATCATTTATTGGGAAACACCATTATTTCCCCCACTGACTTAATAGTCAGGTTTTATTATACACTAAGTTCTCAGGCGAACTGGGTCTTTTTTGAGGCTGTTCTCCTCCATTGATTAGATGATTTCTTTTCTAGTACTTTTGAAACGACAGGAAACTTGTTTTATATCGTATTCTCTGACCTTTCCCTACTCATTCTCAGGTTGTTTCATGCCTCCCATGCTTGTCTTGGACAAGTTCCCCAATTAAGCCTTTTGGTAGTATTTTTATTGGGGTTTCATTTAATTTAGAATCTGGAAAAGTTACTGCAAAATTTGGTCTTGCTATTCAAGAACAAAGTGTGTCCTTTTTGTTATTTTAGTGGCTTTTAAATATCTCTCAATAGAATTTTAAAGTTTTCTTCATATAGGTCTTTCAAATTTATTTCATTTAATCTTAGATTCTTATTTTGACTACTGTTGTAAACAAAACTATTTTCTTTTATTTGAAGTGCTTGTTTGCTCATTTCTACTACTGTTTCCCAGTTGACTTTGAGTTTTTTATTTTTTATTTTTATTTTTATTTTTTAAATATAGTTTATTGATTTTTTTACAGAGAGGAAGGGAGAGAGATAGAGAGTTAGAAACATCGATGAGAGAGAAACATCGATCAGCTGCCTCCCGCACATCTCCCACTGGGGATATGCCCGCAACCCAGGCACATGCCCTTGACCGGAATCGAACCTGGGACCCTTCAGTCCGCAGGCTGACGCTCCATCCACTGAGCCAAACCGGTTTCGGCGACTTTGAGTTTTTTAGATATCAGCTGGAAGAAATGATATATTTTGTCTCTCTTTTCAAAATGTTCTTATTTCTTTTTCCTAATTGTGATGACTATTGGTTCCAGAAAAAATATTAAGTAACAGCACTGATAGTGGGCACCCTCTTTGTTCCTCATTTTAATGGGAATACTTCTGATGTTTAATTTATATGATGCTGACTTTTGGGTTTGTTTTTACAATGTCAGTGAAATACCTATGTATTTCTATTCTACTGGTCTCTTCTCTCTCTCTCTCATGCAATCAGAGATGAATGTTGAATCTTGTCAAATGTGTTTTGGATGCTACTAGTGCTATTTTTTTCTCTTTGTACTTATGATAATATGGTGGATTAGTTTAATATGATTTTAATATTGAATCATCTTATGTTTCTTCGTGGTGTAATTTTCAAAAGTTCTGATGAATATTCTCTGCTAATATATGAATACTTATGGCTTTGATACAAGTGAGATTTCCACTTTGATTTCTTTTTCTGAACTTTGTCAGGTTTTGATTATCACTCCTCTATTGACTTTGTAAAAATAGTTCAGAAGTGTTTTTTCTCTGTTCTTTGAAAAACTGTGAATAGTATCAGCATGACATCCCCTGACGGCTTGAAAGGGTTAACCTGTGCAGAAATCCGGCCGGCTGTATTTTTGAAAGACACTCATTTGATACGTTCGCATTTTGTTCTGTGCTCATGTTGGGCTGTTTAGGTTTTTCTCTTCTCTGGGATCACTTTTGGTGATTTGCATTTTCCTAGAAAAATCAACTATTTCGTCCAATGATTCAAACGGATTTGGACCTTTTCCGTTTTATCGTGGTTTGAGACTATTTTCCCTTTCTAGCTTCTAACTTTGAATGTAGGCCCTCTCCTCCCCCTGTGCCCGTTATATTGGCCAGAGGTTTATCAACCTTATCGGTCAGTTCTATTGTTTATGTTTGCTAATTTACACACTTCTGCTCTCATCTTCATTGCTTCCCTAATTCCCTTTGTGAGGGGAAACCCGGGAAATAGAAAAGTAGGGCCGGGGAAAAAGAAGCCAGCTTTCCTAGTAAGGTTCCAGTGTGTGTAAGGAACAGGAGGGGAGGAGGAGGAAGGGTGAGGCAACCTGGGCGGGGGTGGGGGGGGGGGTGAAGAAAGGGGACATGTGTAATACTTTCAACAATAAACAACAACAAAGCCAAGGGTGACTGGCAGAGGGAACTAGGGGAGTCTGCCCTGCCTGTGCCCAGCCTCTGCCCAGCCGAGTCACCCGCTCTCTCTACTCACCAGCCGCACGATCTTCAGCGCTCCCGTGGGTGAGAAGAAAAAACGCTTGATGCTGTCCCTGAACCTGGGTGGGACCTTGGTCCGGCCCTCCGCGCGCTTTTGGATCGCCGCCTTCTCCCCCTCGCTGGGGGCCGCCTGTTCGCTTGGCTTCTGGTCTGGGGCCTTCTTGGGGACCGCGGGTTTCCCTTTGGGTCCTGGGTGCACCGAGCGTACGGACGGCGTTGAGCGTTTGGGTTGATTCTTTGCGGGTGCGCTGCGCCCGGGGCGCCCCGAGGCGCTCTCTTCAGGTCCCATCGCTTCAGAAGTATACATGGTGGGCCCCGGGCCTGGCTCTGTTAGGTTGGCCCTGCGCCTCTGACCCTGCTCTGCGGCCGCCGGCTCTCCCCGGCCCCCGGCGTCGCGCCCCAACGGCTGCCGGCTGCCCCCCCCTCGCGCGCACCCAGCTCTCCCTGCCGAGGGCGAACCAGACTCTCCAGCCACCTCCTGGGCACCCGCGTTGCGCCCTTGCCTCGCGTGGGACCTCAGGGTCGCAACCCCCCTCCCACCTCCTTGCTACCAGCCAGCCAGGTGGCCCCTGGGGCTTCCTCTCTGCCCCCCCCCAACCCCCGCCCCAGGGGCGGACAGCCCGGCAGGTGGCATCCAGGCACCCGCAGCTTGGAGGGCGCAGTCCCGGCGATGCCCTGGGCGCGGAGGCCGCACATCCCTTCCTCCGGCTCCCATATGGAGACGAAGGTGAAAGCCGCCGCAGGAACCACGTGGAGAAAATAGATGTGTTTAATGCTGGGAAGGTCTATACAGTGACACAGTTTATATTTCGTCGTGAATCGCTTTTTTCTGATAGGGACCGCTTGGGTTAAAGAGGAGCTTCCGGTAAATGAGAGCCGCGTCCGCGATGCAGCACACCACCGCCAGGAGGCCGAACACCTGGGGACGAGACACAGCGTCACTGGCCACTGCCGCCGCCACCCGGACTCTGTCTCCAAGGGGTCTGCCCACCGGGCCTCCCCTCCTGCTAGGGCACGGGCATTGCTGATACTATGATGGGAAGAGAACTCAGAGACCATTTTAATATATTTTATTGTTTTGGGGTTTTTTTTACAGAGAGGAAGGGAGAGGGACAGAGTTAGAAACATCCATGAGAGAGAAACATGGATCAGCTGCCTCCTGCACACCCCCCACTGGGTATGTGCCAGTGACCAAGGTACATGCCCTTGATCGGAATCGAACCTGGGACCCTTCAGTCTGCAGGCCGACGCTCTATGCACTGAGCCAAACCGGTTAGGGGCAAGACTATTTTATTCTCCCTAGTTTTCCCAGTGCCTGCTCGGAGAAAGGGAAAATACCATGTAAGTGAGCAGAAGTGCTACTGAAGTGGTGTGGGCTCTGAAATAAAGACTGGTCTGGATCGCTTGACTTGCTCCAGGAATGTACTGCTTCAAGACCTATTGCTGATAATCAGTCATCAGTCAACACGTCTCTCTCCAATGGTCCACTCTTTGCCTTTCCTGCTGCAAACGCTACTGGAGAAGGTGTCAAAGTTCACACCATCTCCAAGATGAAAGGGTGGTGCTAGTAGCTGTGATGAAAGCTTTGGAGAATTGGAGTGATAAGATTACCTCAAAGGCTTGGCCGTGTTCACATAAGGGGCGGGACTCTAGGCCGTGGGAAAATAAAATTGAGGTCAAGGGAATGAACTAGAACAGGGGTGGGCAAATTTTTTGACTCGAGGGCCACAATGGGTTCTTAAACTGGACCGGAGGGCCGGAACAAAAGCATGGATGGAGTGTTTGTGTGAACTAATATAAATTCAAAGTAAACATCATTACATAAAAGGGTACGGCCTTTTTTTTTTTTTTAGTTTTATTCATTTCAAATGGGCCGGATCCGGCCTGTGGGCTGTAGTTTGCCCACAGCTGAACTAGAGCGTGGTCTTCAAGCACGCGGACCGCTATTCGAGAGCTGGTGCCTGGGCTGGAGAGGGTGCACCCCTGCGTGCTATTTGCTCAGCTCCTTCTAAAGGCCTGGAAGTCTGGCTTTCTGGCTCCAGACACCGCTCCATTTCCACCCTGAATCTCAAGCGTGGCTTCCTAGGTTCTGACCACATGAAGTACCTTCTAGCTATGCTTTCATGACTCTGGTACTCTCCACACATTTCTGGTTCCTCCCCCTGGGAAATCCCCCTCCCCCCTGCCCCCCTCACTTTCTCCCTTGATTCCTGGCAAACTTTGATTTCACGGCCAGAAAGTTGTAGCTTCCTCTTTTCTGTGCCCCAAACACTCTGTCACCAGCTCACATATAGCTGTTCACACTTCTGTCTCCTGCATTAGGCTCTAAGTAACTTGAGGAAAGGGCTCATGTTCTAGTCCAGTGCCGTCCCAAAGAAGTAAAATGTGTCACCAAGCCCGGCCAGCATGGCTCAGGGGTTGAGCACCAGCCTATGAACCAGGAGGTCACGGTTCGATTCCTGGTCAGGGCACATGGCCAGGTTGTGGGCTTGATCCTCAGTAGAGGGCATGCAGGAGGCAGACAATCAGTGATTCTCTCTCATCATTGATGTTTCTATCTCCCTCTCCCTTTCTCTCTGGAATCTATTAAAAAAAAAAAAATGAGTGAATGAATGAATGAGTAAATAAGTGAGTGAAAGTAAATCCTATGCCTGGGTGGCCCCTCTTTCTCCATAGTAGAGGGTAAGATTATCTTTAAAGACCACTGGGGACATTGCTGTTCCAGCACTGTTTCATTTCTAGAGTAATTCCCATCCCTCACGAAGTTGCTTAGGGCCTAATAAGGGAGAGGAAAAGGCATGGATTCTGACATACATGGCTATCTGAGAGCGATCGGTTCTCCTAAGCGGTCCATACTATGAAAAGACAAGGAAGTAGGAGGGAGATTTATTTAAAAACTTTCTAATTCACTTCTCTAGATCAGAACCTAGAAAAGCCAAATTGAACTGTGACCGTCTGGTTCATAGGTCAATGCTCAACCACTGAGCCACACTGGCTGGGCAGTATGTATTTCTATTTTTTTTATTTTTAAAGGGAGAACTATGAAAGTTATTCATGGTGTTTTTGCTTGACATCAAGCTTCTCAAAGCTAAGTATTATAACTGATTCTTGTAGCTTTTCTCGGTCTAGGTTTTCTCAGCCTAGTCTAGCCCTACATATCTATGAGAAATATGTAAGAGCCTTATTTAGTTAACTTCATTTTTATTGTGACACCATATTCCTTCAGGGCATATATTCATACAAAAAAATATTAAGCCACTGGGTGCTGTAAGACCTGGGAGGACCAAGGATGAATACAGTATAGCGTTCTGTTCCTGTATCTGTTTTTTAAATAAATTGAATTCTGATCAAACCTAAAGGAAGAAACCAGAAAGGCCTCCACTTACCCCTCCAAGGACCATATATTTCGTGGTTTCTGGTATCAGTGCCAACACAGATATGATTATCATGAATATTGCTGCTACCAGTGAGTTGAGAATATCCTGAAAATGCAGAATAGAAAGGTCAGCTTTACATGAAGATTTTACACACACACACACACACACACACACACACACACACACACACAGTAGGAAAAAAGAAGAATGAGCTCCCCAAAGATATACATAGTTCCATTTTATTAAACAAATTTATTTAGTGTTTATCTTTTTAGAAAATCAAACTGCTACAGTAAAATGACACCTATATTGTGTTTGGTCTACAAGGACGTCTAGTCGTCCGCTTAACCTAGAATACACCAATCATTGATTTACTTAACAGGCTTATTTATTTTTTACTTAAACATAGTTGGAGGGAAACTCCTCTGGTTAGGAGTAGACGACCTAACAGGTGGGAGGTTTAAGGGAGAAAGGTGCATTGGGAAGTCAGGATGCTCAATTGTAACAATGTGAGAAGTGTAAAGTGGTCGACACTGTAAATCAAACTACTTGATAATGTTACTGAAATGCAGTTCATAAAACTAAAAGCAGTGCATACTTAGGAGAAAGTGGTAATTTTCAGGAAGAAACTCCCACACATCTGTACGTGATGGTTGGCCAATTATGCTCTCATTTCTGATGAGGTAGCTCATTCATGATTTCTTGAAATGAAGCATTCCCCTTCTGAACTGTGGCTTTATGGGGCTGCAGCTTACATTTGGAATGGAGGATAGTGTGGGAAAGGTAAGTCATCTCTATTCTGGAATCACTTATGTATGCTTACAGGTAAGTAGAGACAGGAAGGAATTAACACAGAAATATCAAACTTCAAAACCCTGGTAGCTCAAAACAGTAGTGATTCCAAAGAAAACAGGAAAGAAAGAGGGTCAGTGGGGACAGGTCAAGATGAGATGTACTTAGAAAGAAAACACTTCTCATTTGCAGGAGATACTAAGACTACCCGCCCCAGGTCAGTGTCCCAGGTCAGCACCCCTCGGTGCTGGACACCTTGCTCTACTTCAAGGCAATTGACCAGGCAGCCCTGCTTCCTGGAGTGACTTGGGTATGTGTGTAGGAAAGGCTTTGGATGAAAAGGCGTTAGTGTTCTAGATTCTGCAGAGAACCACAGGAAAAAGAAAGGTGCACCTGCCCGGGAACATGGGTCTCCCTTGGGTCCTCTCTGGTCTCTCTCTGGCCACTCCTTTTTCTCACCCCATATGTTGGTATTTCCCAGTTTTACCTTCAGCTTCCTCTACACTCTCAGAGCCATTTAGGCCAGTCCCCGAGCTTATTTCTATCCCAAGGGAATGTGGATGACTCTCAAAGCCGCAGCTCTAACTCCTGTCTCCTAAGCTTCAGATCTGTCCTAAACATTTCCATCCGAATATCCCCCACACAATGAAAACCTAGTATTTTTCCAACTGAACTCACCACCTACCACTCTCCTTGATCCTTCCTCAAACCTAATCTTCCTCCTAGACTGCCTATCTCATTTTCCTCTTAAGATAGTTATTCAAAGGGCAGGCATCCTTGATTCTCCTTCGTTACTCAGTTATCTCTCAGGCTTGCCTCTAGTTTTGTTCCATTTCAAGCCATTATGGATCCTGTCGCCAGTGCCATCTCCTAAAATGTAAGCTGATCATGTCGCTCTGCTACCTGATCTTTCTTTAAATTTTTTTTTTAAATTGATTTCAGAGAGGAAGGAAGAGGGAGAGAGAGATAGAAACGTCAATGATGAGAGAGAATCACTGATTAGCCGCCTCCTGCACACTCCCTACGAGGGATGGAGCCTGCAACCTGGGCATGTGCCCTGACTGGGACTTGAACTGTGACCTCCTGGTTCATAGGTCAATGCTCAACCGCTGAGCAAAACCGGCCGGGCTGATACCTAATCTTTCAAAAGCTTCCACCGGCCTTCGGGTTAAAACCCAGGGCATACAAAACCTTGTGTGCTCTGACCTCCTACTGCCTCCCAAGCCTCTACTCTTGCCCCCTCTCTTCTTTCCAACTCCATACTCCAGCCATTCAGAGCTACCTGCAGGTCTTTGAGGGCCATGCTCTTTCTCTCCACCCCCCCCCCCCCCCCCCCCCGCATACATGGGTCCCTCTACCGGGAAAGCCCCTCCATCCCCATATCAGTCTGCCAACGACTTTTCATCCTTCAGCCCTCAGCTCAGGCCTGTTATGATTGGTCCCCTTCCCTGGCTGGGTGCCTCTACACCCTCCTGGGTGCACATCTATCACAGCACCTGTCACACTGAATTGCTCATCCACCTTTCTTCCTGGCAACACTGAAAGTTTCTCAGGTACAAGATTTGTGTTTTGTCTTATTAAAGAACCCATCACAGAACCTGGGATGAGCAGATACTGAACATTTGGTGACTAAATGAATTCGTTAGATCAAGAGCAGAGAGGAATCTGGGTAACATAATGGAGTAATAACTTAGTTGACCATATAGCACCATTTTGAAAAGATTACAGTATCAGCGAAGTGTGATCCTCAGAGATTTAGAGACCACTTTCAGTAAGCTACCCATAGTCCACTCTCCCCCTCAGTGCATTCTGTTAAATGTAGGGCTCCAAGTTTGTTACCTGTAAGAAGCTCCAGAGAATTATTAGTTTGGAGAAAAATGCTAAAATGTGTTAAGTTTTAATAACCCTGGAAAAGCAGAGTATGAAGAGCAACTAGTCCAGCTTTTCGAGCACAAGATTAAAAGGATGTGGCTCAAGTTCATCATCTCCTTGAGGAAATCCTTGGGATCAGTTAGCTTAGGCCCTTCTGCCACTAGATGATGGTATGTACCCTGAGGACCAACTGATGAAGGCTTTTCATCTCTTCTCCTACCTAGACCTCCCTTGAGATAGGTCCAGCTCTACAGTGTGGATGCAGGAGGAGTTTGGAGGGATGCTGGGAAGGTCCTAGCTAATTACAAGCTTCACCCTTTTGGGATTTCTCAGCCTGTAATTAGCCTGAAATGATCATCATTGGCCTTAGAAGGTGGTTTCAGAAGGTACCACTTGAAGTCATGCTTCTGGTTTGAGAATAGCTCTCACATCCTCTTTTTTAAACAGGGGTTATCAGCCTGGAGATCACTTCAGGAGGAGGAGACAGGTGCAGCAGAGGGTCTTAGGAGGGAGACCTCTGGAGATAGGATGCTGGGGAGAAGACTTGAGAGAGGAGACAGAGTTGAAGTCATTCATTTTCTCCTACAACAGAGGTTCTCAACCTGTGGGTCGCGACCCTTTGGGGGTCGAACGACTCTTTCACAGGGGTCACCTAAGACCATCGGAAAGCACACATATAATTACATATTGTTTTTGTGATTAATCACTATGCTTTAATTCTGTTCAATTTGTAACAATGAAAATACATCCTGCATATCAGATATTTACATGACGATTCATCACAGTAGCAAAATTACAGTGATGAAGTAGGAACGAAAATAATTTTATGGTTGGGGGTCACCACAACATGAGGAACTGTATTAAAGGGTCGCGGCATTAGGGAGGTTGAGAACCACTGTCCTCGAACCAGCTTAGAGTGCAGACTGCAGGACCAGACACACCTTAACTAATATCTTCAACACGCCTATTTTGACAGTGTATAGAACTATGTGGGCACTCCACCGGGCAGTTATTCGTAATGTTACAAATGTGGCAGATGAAATCCATATGCTGCTAAATAAGGCTCTACAAGATGCGTTAATGACTGCAGACTTTTAAAATAAGATAATTTTGTGCTTTATTGAGCCTCCCAAATTATTTTGATTTTCCATTTAGTGACCAGGGATGTGTAAGATATAGATACTGTGTATTTGCTTCCATCTCTACCCCGCCCCCCCATTTTAAATGCAGCATGCATTTAAAAGGAAGATAAAGATTAAGAATGTTCTCAGACTTAACCATGACCTTTAATTTAAATGTTTTGAAAAGATTTACACTTAGGTGAATTCTCCTGACAGAAGGGTCAGCCACATCTCCTTTGGACGGAGTTCAGAGGGGAATTTATGTGCTGTGACTACCCTGGCTCCCTGAGATTCTCCCCCAGGGACAATACAGGGCACCTCAGCACCGGGGAATGTTTCTCCTTCCTACGTGTATCAGAGATTCCTTACAGGCTTAAGAAAACGAAAGAAGAGAGCTTATTAAAATGTCTCACGAGGGCAGGAAAAAGTAGTTAATTTTAACGATGAAACTGAACACTTACAAGCAAAGGCCAAAATAGAAAGGTAATGATTCGATCAAGTCTGAGCATATATAAAATTATGAAAAACAAAGTGATGGTGACTTCAAATCCAGTGATAACAATGTATGGTTCAGGGGCCTGTGTGAGGATGAAAAGAGTCATAGATGCCGCAGTTAGTGCCTGCAAGGAACAAACACACAGATAGGATTTGTCAGTGATTATTGAATACAGGCGTAAGCTGTTAAAAATGATCATTTCTAAAATACCCAAAATAAACCAGTTTCTGCCATACACACATCTAAAAGGCACGACTGAAATGCATGGATGTGTGCATACGGCAGAAACCATTTAGCTAGCTATTCACAACATTCACGATAGCGACTCACCAAGTGCTCATCTGTGCCTGTTACCTTTGCTTTCTGGGAATGTATTACCTTCCCAAGTGGCCATTTATTTATTTATTTTTTTAAATATATTTTATTGATTTTTTACAGAGAGGAAAGGAGAGAGACAGAGAGTTAGAAACATTGATCAGCTGCCTCCTGCACATCTCCTACTGGGGATATGCCCGCAACCCAAGTACATGCCCTTGACCGGAATCGAACGTGGGACCTTTCAGTCGGCAGGCCGACGCTCTATCCACTGAGTCAAACCGGTTTCGGCCAAGTGGCCATTTAATTTTGGGAACTTCCCCAACATAAAATTCTTCCTCATCGTAAGCAGAACTGCTTCCCTGTAGTCACTTTGAACTATTTCCACCCCATCTTCCATAGGTCACTGCTTTAAAATTAATTTTTTTTCCCTTCCCCCTTTTTCTTGAACTCCTGCAGCACAGTCTCCTATGGCAGTTTCCACTTCTCTAACTGGCCGGGTCACCTTCCTCCCCCTGAGGATTCATTCTCTCCGAGTGTCTGTTCAGAACTGACCGCTGTGCTCCCGGAGGCCCCACCCTCCAGGCTCTGGGCTGAATGAGCCCTGAGCTCGGTCACATCAAACTTCTGACCGACAGGAAAGAAGCACAGCATCCCCCATTACCTTGCTGGCTTCTGAGTGGTTCAAGTGCAGCTGCCTCACCTGGTAGCCTGGGGACCTGGCTTGGGGTCCGAGCGCAGGCCATCCAGGTAAGTAGGCTGCCTTTGCTTTATGAGTGTGCAAAGACAGCGCCTTATCGCTCTCCTTCCCGCTGGGATGCCTCGCCCCTAGGGCGGCCTTGATAGAAACAAGGGTGGAAGAGAAGACGGGGCATTCTACTTCCTACGGGACACCCATCACTGCCCCTGAGCACCTTGCACGCCGCCCTCCACCCCGCAGCCGGCGCTCACCAGCCGCAGCTTCTTCACAAAGCCTTTCACGCTACAGCAGAAAGGGTGATGCTCCATGGCGCCCAGCAGCAGCACTGGCCCTTCAGCCCCCCTCCACCGGGCCTCCTGCGGGGGCCGCAACGGCAGCAGCCGCCTCGCACGCCCCCCCCACCCCCCGCCCCTCCAGGCTAGGGGTCCCCTTCCCGCTCTCACGTGCGTGCACGTGTCTGCACGGCCCGCACTAGTGCGCATGCGCCCTAGCCTGTTCTCCCTGGCAAGCTGCCTTCTTGCAAAGTGCCAGTCCCCCATGAGCACGCGAGCACCGCCCCGCCCTGCCAGGTACCAGTGGCAACTGCTTTCCAGCTCTCCCCAGTAATTTCCCTGTCAGAAAGCGCTCCCTAAGGGAATGATGGGGAGGGGAGGGAGAGGAGGGTCCAGGAATGTTTGTCCTGCCACCCCATACTCTGGACATCTCAAATGCCATCGCCTGATATTGTAGATATTTTTTAAAAATATATTTTGATTGATTTCAGAGAGGAAGGGAGGGAGACAGAAACATCAGTGATGAGAGGGAATCATTAATCAGCTGCCTGCTGCCTGCACTACATGGGATCCATCCTGGCTGGTGTGGCTCAGTGGTTGAGCATAGACCTATGAACCAGGAAGCCCTGATTAGGTTCTGGGCTTAATAATATAAATTGCACCAAAGCAGGGACCTGGCAGTCTGCTTCTCTCCCTGCAGGATCCCCAGGGTCTGGCATATGGTAGATACAGAATTTGTGCTGTCTGAAGGCCTGGCCTGGGCCCCCTACCCTGTCCTCGCCCCCAGGGCATCACTGTCTGGTTTGTGAGCTTGTTTGCTCTGTATGTTTTTATTTTGGCCGCGCACACACTGGTGCTTGTTCTTCCATAGAACCGCCTGTCGCCCTTCAGACACCCAGTTCAATGTGTGTTTTCCACTAGTGCTCCTAGGAAGCCATCGCTCCACCATCACCGAGCCTTTCTTTTTAGGGATGTGAAGTATGTGTGGCTCCTTTAATGTGATTTAAGTTCTGTCCTGGATAACTTGGCCCTCACCCCCATCCATTCAGACCTCTTTGGGTCTTGCCCATCTCAGCTTTAGTCCATCTCGTCCAGTCAAATCTGATCAGCTTGTAATTACAACAGCCTCATGTCAAATCACAACAGTTTTGAACTTTGCCTTGAAGTTTGTGTATGTGCCAGGTCTGTGGCAGATATTACAGGAAGCACCAGGTGGGCTTGCGGCTGGCTGGAAACAGATGTCGAGGCTGAGTGAGCCCTCTCACAAATGACTTCCTTTTCTCTGTCCACCGGGTGACTTCCAGCACCTTGCACTCCTGGGAGAGGTGGGAAACCCCTCCACCCACGCACTGGAGGGCGCACGTACAGGCACTCTCCTTACCAAAACAGCCTGGGCTGCAGGGCCTGGGCCTCGTCTACCTCACACCTGGGCTGATTTTTTGCTACCTGACTATGGATGGGTTTTACAGGCTTCCTCCCCACCCCTTAGTTGTCTGTCCAACGTTGCTTGTGCCTTTGTTAAAAGATAAACTGAGGCATATTAAAAAGTTTATTTGAGCAAAAATCGATTTGAATCAGGCAGCATCCAGTGTAGCAGATAGGAGCTCTGGAAAGCTGTTCAAAATGGAAGACTTTTATAGGCAGAAGGGAGCAGGAACAAGGACGTTATACCAGGCAAAAAAGGTGGCTGGTTATTGTAGGCTACTTTCTTTTAGGGGATAGCAGGGGTCTTACCTGGCAGATGCCATTTCCGGGAGAGCTGGAACTATAATTAAGCTAGGTCTTGGTTTGGAGATGTGGGCTTAGCATATAAGAGACTCCATTTGGGGCCTGTTGTCTTGCTCTTGTTTTATTGACATACTAGAGGCCTGGTGCACGAATCTGTGCACAGGTGGGGTCTGGCCAGCCCACCCCGATCTGCGGATTGGGTTGGCTGGGGGGAGGGGCTGCTGGCAGTTGGCGGCCAGCTCTGCCCCCTGGTCGAACTCCAGGTCCAGGGGACAACTTGAATATTAGCCTTTTATTATATGGGATAATATCTTATTCATTTCAGGTGTACATAATAGTGACTGGATATTTAAATATATTATGAAATGATCCCCATGGTAATTCTGGTTGCCATATTATTGATGGCATTACCATATTATTGACTGCATTCCCAATGCTGTACATTACATACCCATGACTTGTTTATGTTATAGTATGAAGTTTGTACCTCTTAATCCCCATTACCTATTTCATCTGCCCTTCAACTCCTTCCTGCTCTGATAACCACCAGTCGGTTTCTGTTCTGTTTGTTCATTTATTTTATATTCCACCTATAAGTGAACTCATATATTTGTCTTTCTGTGTCCAACTTACTTGACTTAGCATAATAACCTCTAGGTCCATCTATGCTCATACAAATGGCAAGATTTGATTCTCATTTTATGGCTGAGTAATAATCAGTTGTGTATGTGTGTGTGTGTGTGTGTGTGTATAAAATCTTTATCCATTCATTTATCGATAGACACTTAGGTTGCGTCCATATCTTGGCTATTGTAAATAATGCTGCAATGAACATAGGGGTCATATACCTTCTTGAATTAGTGTTTTTGTTTTCTTCATGTAAATATCCAGAAGCGGATTGCTGGATGATGGAGTTCTATTTTAATTTTTTTGAGGAACCTCCTTGCTGTTTTCCATAATGGCTGCACTGTATTACATCCCCACCAGTAATGTACAAGGGTTTCCTTTTCTCTACATCCTCACCAACACTTGTTATTTGTTGTGTTTTTGATAATAGTCCATTCTGACAGGTGTGAGATGGTATCTCATTGTGGTTTTGATGTGCATTTCCCTAGTATTGAAGAGACCGTCTTTCCCCATTTTATATTCTTGCCTTCTTTGTCATAGATTAATTGACCACATATGCGTGGGTTTATTTCTGGGCTCTCTATTCTATTCCGTTGATCTATGTGTCTGTTTTCATGCCAGCACCATACTGTTTTGATTACCATAGCTTTGTAGTATAGTTTGAAATCAGGGAGTTTTGTTCTTTCTCTAGATTGCTTTGGCTAGTCAGAGTTTTTTGCAGTTCCATACAAATTTTAGGACTCTTTGTTGTTGTCTTGTGGTTTTTTTTTAAACACCTTCCTGAGGGATTTAGTGCATTTACAATCCAGACTGGCTATGTCAGAGTTCAGAGGAGAGAGTGCAGGCTGTGAAGCAGCACAGATGGGCTTGCATTCCACCTCCACTCCATGAGGAATGCTTCTGATCATGTAAACAAGCTGCCTAAGTTTCTGAGGATCAGCCCAGCTGGGAAAATGGGAGTGACCACATCCATCTGCAGGATTCTTGGCAAGAATAACCGACGCGGTGCGTGTGTGCCACGTGCCCAGCTGGAACAGGCGCTGGGTGAAGTCATCGCCGATAACTGTTAACCACTCAGTCGCTGGTGTTATTGGCCACCCACCCTCCAGGCTTGCCAAGCCCTGGGCTCCTCTGCCAGCGCCCACTTAGCGGGAAGGCCTTCTGTCTGCAGACGGCGAATTCCAAGCCTGGAATGATCATCGCCGTCGGAGGTGGGGGGAAATGGGACGGGGTCCCTTTAAGGGCCGAGCCGGCGCGGGTGGGGCTGCGCGCAGCAGCTGACTCCGCACCGGAAGGAAGCGCGGGCCAACGGATCCGTCCGCCCGGCCGGCCGGCCATGCTCCTGCGGCCGCTGCGCAGCTGGGCCTCCCGGGCGCTGCGCCGGGAGGGGCCCGGGAGCCCCGCCTGGAGTCCGGGGCTGCGGGGGGCGCAGCGCCGGGCCTGGCCTCGGGGTAACGCGTCTCTGGGCACCACGCCTTCGCCTTCAGCGGTGTCCGCCCCACTCCCCTCCCTCGGCTCGCGGGACCTACCTGAACCCCAAACCCCCAGTTGGAGGCGCGGGGGTTCACTCCCGGCGGCGGCGGGAAGGGGCGGGGCAGCCCCTGGCACGCGCCCCAGACGCCAGCCGGCTGCGAGCGGATGCGATGGGACCGGGGGGCTCGGGGCTTTCTCTTGTTCGGAGTTGGGGAGCCCCCTAAAGGGCAGGAGGAACCCCACTCCCCATGGCGGAGGCTGCTCCTGGCCCCAGTCCACCTCCTGGGCCGATTCCTCTGGCCGCGGGGGAGGCGGAGGCTGGGAGCTGCGGACAGACCGACAGACAGCCCCCCACGAGTGGAGACCCTCCCCCTCGAAAGCAGGGGGCGCTGCTAGCAGCCGGTCCCTCGTCCCTGGGCTCGGGCTGTTGGGTGGCACCGCAGAACCACCTGTGAGGGGGTGGGCTGGGCGGCGAGGCCAGCCCTGGGCCAGAAGAGAAACCCGAGTCCTGGGCAGGAAACCTATGGCCACGGCCAACTCTTTTTGTTTTTTTTAAGCTGTCTTCGGCACTTTATTTATTTTTATTTTTAAAAATTTTTGTTATTAAGTTATTACATATGTGTCCTTAGCCCCACATTACCCCCTATCTCCCACGGCCAACTCTTACCTGTGCGTGCCAGTGGGGCCCACTCTGCGTTCTCACTTACCGGGCACCAGCTTGTGATCAGAGATGAAATGTGTGCAAAATGGAAAGTCAGATATAACCAAGTGAAAAAGCCGGCTCGGTGGGGCCCGGGCGTGCCAACAGGCCCCGGTGGCAGTGGCACACAGGTGGACAGGTGCAGTGGGTCTGCCTCTGTGCAGCCGCGGAGGCCCCGGGTGTCGCTGGAAAACATTTTTAGGTCAGGGAGCAAGCGTCAACAGCTCTGTTCTTGTGGTGGGTTAGCTAGTTAGGATGAAGAAGAGAATCGTTGAAAACTGCGCTTCAATACAGATTTCCTTTCTTTTGTAGATAAAGAAAATGAGAAAGAGAAAAAGACCGTGGTAAGTCCCTCTTTTATGTGCACTCTCCATGTACATAATTCATTTTGAGGAGGGGGATGAAGGGATAGTATAAAAACAGAAATACCAGAGGATCTCCAGGGATAGGAGGGAGGTCTGTCTCCATCCCTGGGCCTCAGACTCCCTCCCCAGCTTACACGATGAAATATTAGTCACCCATTCAGAATCGTGTTTTTGAAAAATATTTAATGACCTGGAAAGGTACTCATTATGTAAGAGATGAAAAGAAAAACACCAGGGATAAAAATCTATGAAGTAGGAATCAAATGAAATAACATACACACTTTCCATCGGAAAAAAACCCAGAAAGAAGTATTGCAAACTGTTGCAGAAAGTGTCAGTCTGGTTAAGGGAAAATTGGGGAGTGTTAACAGTGAGTTTGAATGAGAGGGAGAGAGAATTTGCGGGGTAAGGAGTCTTCCCAGAGTTATTTGACTGTTAAATTAAACAGGGTTCCTTAAAAAAACACACACACACACAAAACCCCACAGCAACACAGCTTTAGTGAGTTTAATTTACATACCCCCAAATTCACCCATTTTAAGTGTACAATTCAGTGTACAATTTAGTAGGTTTACAGAGTTGTGCAACATTACCACAGTCCAATTTTAGAATATTTCTATCCCTAGGAAAAGAAACGTCCTGCCCATTCGTAGTCACTTCCCCAGCCTCAGGCAACCACTAATCTACTTCCTCTCTGTGGATTTGCTTTTCTGAACATCTCTATATATAAAAGGCCAATATGCTGAGTGTCTGACCATCCGACTGGTCGCTATGATGCACACTGACCACCAGGGGGCAGACGCTCAATGCAGGAGCTGCTGAGCTGCAGTGCCTTGGCAGTGGCATTTCTCGGGCGATGCACCCTGAAACCAGAGAGGAGGGAGCCTGATTCCTTGTGGGTCCCTGTGATTCCACCTTTGGCTGTGGGTTATGTTGTTGCTGGGGCACTGTGGGCCCGAATCTGGTTTACTGCACACCCTGTTTGCATTCCACACCCTGTATGATAGTAATTTTGCAGAGTGCCCTCTCGCACTTGGGGACCCCTCGGGGAGGGGTGGGCAATGTCGGAAAGCCAGTTTTGGGCCCGATCCCTGCAGGCCACGCCGAGGGACCCCACCTGCTGCCAGAGAGACCCTGCTCACTCCACAGACGCTGGGGAGAGACTGAGAGAGGTTGGCTCCAGGGCGTATCCGGCCTGTCTTGCCCACTCCCGCCCTACTGGCCACCTTCAAATTAATTTCCTTTCAGTGTGCATGAATCCGTGCACCGGTTCACTCGTTTCTGATAAAAGGGAACCATACAGCATTCAGTCTTTTGTGTCCAGCTCCTTTCACTTAGCTTGTGAGGCACATCCACGTTGTAGCATGCATCAGTCCTTCATTCCTTTTTATTGCCAAATAGTATTCGATTGTGTGGATGTACCACACTTTATCTACCAGTTGTTGGACACTTGGGCAAGTTTCCTTTTTACTGCCTATTTCTCAGGGTCTTTTGGTTCCGGTGGGGACTTTGAAGACCTAGCCCAAGACTGTTCGCCTCTGGAAACCTTGGTTCTGATAAAACATCGGAATGGCCGTTATCTCTGGAATCACGAGTGATTTTTTATTTTCTCCTTTTGGGTCTCAGTATTTCATACTGCAGGAATGCTTAGCTTCTATTCAGGAAAGATTAAATGTTATTGAAAAATTAGGCTAGGTGGTGCATCGCAGTGTTAATTGTAACCACAGGAAGTTGAACTTTGACAAGGAACATGTAAACTTTGGCACATGACAGAGAGGTGGGCCAGGCTGGCCACATCCTCCCCCAGCATGGCGAACGTCTTTTCTTGTAATCTCTTTTAATCTCCTGTTACTTCCATCTCCACACTCACTGTGCGCCATGTGGGTGCTGGGCTGGCTCCTGAGTCCACAGTGCTTGGCACATACTAGGCCTTCAGTGAGCAGTTGAAAGACTCAAAGATGAGAAATGTGTGTAGGAAATAATCCAGGTCTGAAGCATGCTGAAATGCTGTGGTGTTCATCTCTCAGTGGAGTGTAGACGGTATTTTCTCCTTTATGAAGTTTTTCTATTTTCTTCAATGGGATGCTCTCCTCCTGTAGTACTTTTAGATACTACTTTTAAGAAAAATGAAAGACTTCCTTTGCTTGGTGCCTCTTTCTTTCTCGGTGACAGGGGAACTTTGTGGGATTCTTCATGCCTTGCTTGCTCTGTCATTAATTGAAGGCCTTAGATTTACCAACTTTGAGGATTTCATGGTGGGAGTTAGAACAAGTATTTTTAGAAGAAGGTTTCATCTGAACAACATGTTCTTTGTAGAAAGAAACAATGTCTGTATAGAGTGATGTTTAGTTGAGCTCTTTTTAAATATTTAGGAAGAAGAAAAGTTTCCTTTAAAGAACAAGTACCCTAACCGGTTTGGCTCAGTGGATAGAGCCTCGGTCTGTGGACTTAAGGGTCGCAGGTTCGATTCCGGCCAAGGGCATGTATCTTGGTTGCGGGCACGTATCTTGGTTGCGGGCACATACCCAGTAGGGAGTGTGCAGGAGGTAGCTGATGGATGTTTCTCTCTCATCGCTGTTTCTAACTCTCTATCCCTCTCCCTTCCTCTCTGTAAAAAAAAAAAATCAATAAAATATATTTAAAAAAAAATAAAGAACAAGCTCTGGCTGGTGTGCTCAGTGGTTAGAGCGTCAGCCTGTGCAGCAAAGGGCTGTGGATTGGATTCCCAGTCAATGGCACATCCCTGGGTTGCAGGTTCAATCCCTGGCCCTGGTTGGGGTTGCATGCAGGAGGCAGCCAAATGATGTGTTTCTCTCACATTGATGTTTTTCTCTCCCTTCCACTCTCTGTAAAAATCCATGGAAAAAATATCCTCGATTAACAAACAAAAGAAAAAGCACAATGAAAAATCAAGTCTATTAGTGCCCTAATGGAATCGCTCTTTTGTGCACTCCTTGGGGTTCATTTTATGGTTTCCCGTTCCAAAGGAGGGAGCTGGCAGGGAGCTGGGATTGGAGGGTGGCCTGGCATCTGAGGGAAGTGTGCTTACCCAGCTCTCTTGGGTACTTTTTAGGGTCACGGCAGGGGGAAACCTTTGCTGACTGACAGCATTTACAGGAGGTGGGGCAAGTGATGCCCCACGTTTTATGTCGGGTGTGACTGAGACTCCATGGGGGTCATGAGAAGGGGTCCGCCAGGCCTGGGTGTGAGTTCCAGCTCTTTCCCCTGCACGGCCTGGGACCCTGTGCAAGTCACTGACATGGTCCACATTTCTCTGGGTGCCTCCAGCCGAGTGTAAAGGTCATTGTGCAGCAGGATGGGTCCTTCACTGGCTGTGCCCCCGGGATGTTCTCAAGGGCCAGTGTATCTTCTTTCGTAGGCGGGACTTCCCGTTTCCTCTTGTGACCTGCGGGAGCCAGAGTCCCCAGCGGCGCCTGCCTGCCAGTCCCTGACTGAGCACATGTTCCTGCACGAAGCAGCCAGTTAGGCTTTAGAGAACACATACATACTTTCTAATCCCAAAGCCATCAGAGGTTAAGAAGGCAGCACATTTAGGCCTAAAATCTAATAGTCTGAGGGGTTGAGCTAGGGAAGGGGTGAGCTAGGGTAGCAGGGGGCAAGTTGTGTATGGTCTAGGGGTTGACATAAGGGCAGGTCTGTCCTGGAGGGCAGTGGTGTGGTGGCCCCAGCGGTGGGCCCGGAGCCTGCCCCAGAGGGGAGGCTCAGTTTGTTTATTACTAACAGCGGGGCCTCGGGGGTTTTCTGCGGAGGGAGTTTTGTGTACACATTGAAGTCTTGTGCTAAACCAATTAGGCTGTTTGAGCCCCTCTGTAGAAATTCTTCCCAATATTCCCCCAGGGGCTTGATTTCTGGTTCTAACATGCATTTGTCTTTTGCCAGATCTGTGTTGAGGGCAATATAGCCAGCGGGAAGACGACGTGCCTGGAGTTCTTCGCCAACACAACAGACATCGAGGTTCGGCCTCCCCAGCAGGTTCCTGAGCTTGACGGAGTCATTCACAGGGGGTGTGGACCAGCCCTGCCCAGTAGAAATACAATGCGAGCCACAAATGCAAGCCACATGTAGAATGTAAACTTCCTAATAGCCTTGCTAAAAAAAAACCCAAAAGGAATATTTTATTTAACATTATGTATTCCAGATGTTATCACTCCAACAGGTAATCAGTATAAAAATCATCAATGAGCTATTTTGCATTCTGTCTTTCATACTAAGTCTTTGAAGTCTGGAATGTATTTTATATTTCCAGCATATCTCAATTTGAACTAGTCCCATTCCAACTTTTTCTTTTTTAAGTATGTTTTTATTGATTTTTAGGGAGAGGAAGGGAGAGGGATAGAGGGCTAGAAACATCAATAGAGGAGCATCATCGATCGGCTGCCTCCTGCACGCCCCCTACTGGGGACTGAGCCTCAGCCTGGGCGTGTGCTCTGACCAGGAATCGAACCAGTGACCTCTTGGTTCCTGGGTTGATGCTCAACTGCTGAGCCACACCGGCTGGACCCATTCCAACTTTTTAATAGCTACATTGGCTCATGGCCACGGCGTTGGACAGTGCAGGGGCAGAGCTCCGCACAGTCTGGTTAGGAAGAGCTTACATGTGAAAGAAGGCAGACTATTGAGCGTGGCTGGGATGTTACAGTGTACGCCTGAGCATGCAGGGAGCACCACCATGCATAGCCGGCTAACACAATTTCTAGTTTATTTACAGCCCAGTCACTAAGAAGAATCTCTACACCAAGACCCTGACCTGACACGACCCTTTTTCCTTGTAGATTTTAGGGGTGTGATCTTCTGTGTATGGCTTTTTTTTTTTTTCCCCGCAGACCCTATAATTTTTAAACTTTAGGGTCATTTGCTTTCCTTCTTTCCTTTTCTGTTTTTACTTCTATTAAAACAGGGTTTGCCCAGCCTGTGTGGCTCAGTGATTGGGCGCTGACCTATGAAGAAACAAGGTTCTTAGCTGTCAGTGTGCTCAGTGCAGAGATCAGAGGGAGGGAATGGAGGCAGAGCAAGTGGCCAAGGTCCCGGGGGAGTTCCCAAGCTGGAAGCTGGGCTTCGATTTGAAGCCGGCGCGCCTGAAGTAGCTTCTCTCTGGGCTTCTCTCGCCTCTGCCAGCCGGACACGCCAGCAGTGAGGGCTGGGATGGAGCACACAGAGGAGGGATTGAGAGAACCTCCCTGGCCCTTCGGGAGCTCCAAGGCAGCCAGAGACGCCATGTGCCTACCCTGGTGTGCAGGGATGGATAGTGTTGTCTCTAGCCATTTCTGGAGGTCACGTGAGGAAGCCCTGTTTAGATGGAGTATGGCCTCGCACAGAGGGTTGCTCAACTATTTTAGCTCAACCTGGATGCCCAAATCTTCACTTTCTCTACCCCCCTCCCTTCCCCAACACTTACCCGCTTTCATTTCATAGAGCTCAGCTCAGAGGAGCAGCAGCCCTTTGATGTTTCCTTTCCCTGCAGGTGATTCCGGAGCCTGTGCACAAGTGGAGAAATGTCCGTGGCCACAATCCTCTGGTGAGTGTGTTGTTTCCGCGTGAACCACCAGCTTCCTCTTGAGTGACTGGTGGTGCCTGAGCCCGCCCCCCGCCCAGGCATTCACCACGCTCTTAGCTGGGCTGGGGGCGGAGAAGGATGAGACAAATGGAAAGTGGCCGTGGCCACATGTAGGTGTTCTGAGGTCAGGGATCTTGGAGACTGGGCTGGGCAGGTGCAGAGCCCAGCGACCTCCTTCCTGTCAGTGATCCCAGACGATCTCAGGTGTCAGCCTTGGTTACTGGGGTGTCTGCCTCCTGCTGCTCCTTCTCCTCCCACCCTCTCCTGGAAGAAACCCATGAGAAACCAGGTCTCCTCAGGCCTGGCCTCCCCAGGACCCATCCTCTCTAAGTAACCAGTTTCCTTGGTAAACCTCTGATTTGGAGTGGCGCTTGGCAATGCCCAGGGGCTGCCTCAAGCTCACCCTGCGGCTTCCTGTCTGCTTTCCCAAGGGTGGACCTAGCAAGCAGGGGCTCTACTGTCCTTGTGCCCCTGGTTCTCCTTCCGCCTTCTGAAGGCTCTGCTCTGGCTGCGTGCACGTGAAGGCTGGAGTCTTGTCCTGTAAGAGGTCTGGGAGCCTGCCCCCTGATGTAGGGATGACCCCCTTTGTTCAGGCAAGGAAACTAATGAAATGCATTGCCAAGGCGTCACACTGGTAAATGATAGACCTAGGTGTGAACCTGTGACTAGAGGGAGCCTCTAGGGTCCCCTCATTTCCAGCAACACAGTGGGCTCGCCTGGTGTGGTTCTTAGACTCGAGTTCCACCGGGGCAGGGACTGTGTCTAATTTGGCTCCCTGTTTGCTAGAACATAGCACACTGCTGAGCACTTAGTAGGTGCTTCTTCTGTTATTCATTCAACCACTAGTTGTTGCCTGCGCCTGCTCTCCTGGCCCTAATATTCTGGTCTGGGAGGCGGAAGACAGTTACATGTATGATATGGCAGGTAGTGATTGGAGCTGTGAAGAAATCTAAAGCAGGTAAAAGGATATTATTGAAATAAGGCAGAAACTCTCAGAGTCTTTGAATAAAGAATCCCTGAGACAGGAACGGACTTTTACCTCTGTGCACGTGGGCGGAGACAGCGTGCCAGTCTTTCTCTCTGGGCCTCACAGAAAAGCCTCAGAACATTCTCATTCTCTGGGAAACCGGGAGGGTCCAGGGCTGGGTTACTGAGACAGCTAGAGTTGCAGGCTTGAGGGATTATGGTGATATTTCGTAGGGCACAGTCCCAGGCTCAGAGCTCGGAGCATCCTTGGTTCAAAGAGCATTTCAAGTGACAGTTTTGTAATAACAAATATAACAGAATTAGATATTTTTGCATAAGTTTCCACTCCGGGGGGCAGGTCAAGATTGGTAGTTTAGTGAAAAGCCTCAGTCCATCACTATCTGAGTTGACTTTCTAATGTAGAAGGTAGAGGGAGTGCTTCTCCCAACCTTTCTGCGATTTTCTTTTACCCAAAGTTAGGAGCCTGTAGTTTTCTTTCTTTTTTATTTAAAAATAGATTTTTATTGATTTGAGAGAAGAAGAGAGGGAGAGAGAGAGAGAGAGAGAGATCAGTGATGAGAGAGAATGATTGATTGGCCGCCTCCTGCATGCCCCCTACTGGGGATCAAGCTTGCAACCTAGCCATGTGTCCTGACCGGAACCAAACGGTGATCTGGTTCATAGAAGCCTGCAGTTCTGAATACAGAGATGGAGTTTTATTAGTTAACGCCAAGGAAGAAAATAAAAAACGTGGAAGAGTAAGACTATTAGTAAGTGGCATATGCAGCATGAAGTGTTTTGTATCTACAGGCAGAAGAGTGTGATGGGGTGGGGCTTCCGTTTCACACGGGAGAGCTGGGGACGGCTGCTTAGGTGACATTTGAGCAGAGACCTAAACAGAGTGGGGGAGGGAGCAGTGCACATGCCTGGAGGAAGTGCCTTCAGACAGGGCATGGCAGGTGTGGAGGCCCCGAGGTGGGAATGTGCTCGGTATCCGGGTGACACTAGGGAGGCCCGTGTGCTTGGAAGTTCCTGAGCCAGAGGAAGAATGGTAGGAGACGCGAGAAGATGGAAGTGGTTGTCTGGGGCTCTGTGGGCCTTGGTAAGGGCTTCGGGTTTCATTTAGAATTCAGTGCGAAGTCCCTGGAAGGTTCTGAGCAGGGGATGACGAGACCTGATTTAGGTTTAAGAAGCTCACGGTGGCTGCTGGATGGAGAACAGACTCCAGGAGCTCAATGAACATTGTTGAGTGACGGAATGGATGTTCCCTGGGGACTTTCTATAGGCTCCCGTTACTGCTGTTGCTGGGCTGTCTTATAAGTACTCCAGTGTCTGTCTCTGTCCACTCTGGGTTTATGTCTGGCCCCACTTCAGCCCACGTAGGTATTACGAGAGGGCTATCGGTGACCAGAATGACCACAGTCCCATAGATAGAGCACACTGAGGTAAGTTGCTGTGTTCTCCCTTCTGCAGGGTCTGATGTACCGTGATGCCTGTCGATGGGGCCTCACGCTGCAGACATACGTGCAGCTCACCATGCTGGACCAGCGCACTTGTCCGCAGGTACCTTCAGACGCTTGGTTCAGCCTTCGTAACATTGTCTTCCGATGAGGGTTCTGTGACTGCCAGGAAGGGGGCCCTCGCAAGGAGGCCTCACTCCTGGGCCTTCAGCGCTGCTCAGCCTTCTCTGTCTTGGGCCGAGGTCTCTGTTCTGCAGCTCTCTGAGGCCCTGCACCCCCCCGCCCCCTGCCCCCTGCCCCAGCAGCCTCAGCTAGTCAAGAAGTTGCTAGGACACCACTGTGAGCCTGAGTCTTCATGACCCAACCATGACTGGGCTCACCACCGTTTAACTCAGTTTCTCTCAAAGTGTGGCCCTGGACCAGGACTTGTTAGAAAGGCACATTTTCTGGCCCCATCCTGGACCTGCTAAATGAGAAATTCTGGAGATGAGGCCCAGCAATCTGTGTTTTATCAAGCTCCCCGGGTGATTTTAATGCACGCTTTGTTTGTTTGCATGTTTGAGAACCTCTCTCTAAACTTCACAGTTCTTGAGAGAAAAAAATCTGATTGGCTCAGCTAGGGTCAGGGGCCGAGCCCCGGGCCAATCAGGTGTTGGGAAAGTCATGGAGCACACACCGCTCCTTGGGCCTCTTCCATCAGCGGGAATGTGAATAGGGCAGAGTCTCTTAGGAGAAAGGCTGGCCGTGGAGGCTCTCCAAGAAGTGACCCCTACACCAGGTTTTCTCCCATCCCGACCCTACTAGCTCCCGCCTGTCTCCGGCACCCCCTTACCCCTCTCCCCCATCGCCCGCCCCTACCCTAGAAAAAAAAAAGAGTGATCCCCACAGCCAGTTACACTGATGCAGCCACTTGGGTGGTTTGATCAAGAGTTGGGCACTTGCAACATAGCTGTCAATCTTCTACAAATCTGTGTAGATAATGAGCAGAGCGATTAGAATTTCTATCCCCCCAGGTGTCTGTCTAAATGATGCGGTTAGAGGACCTGAGGTTGGCACTTTGCCCTGTGCTCACCCTACTTTTCCTGAGCGGGTAGCCACTTGCAAACCTGAAAAGTATCTATCATACCTGAGTATAACGGGACACCCATGGAGGAGACCCATAAGATGAACAGAAAGAGAGATGGATGTGTGGGGAGCTAGCAGAAGATGGGTAGTGGAGAGTGATGAGGAAGGAGAGAATGGGAAAATAGAAGGGAAGACGATGGACAGGTAGATGCACAGGGAGAGAGGGTTAGGAAATTCCTGGGCCATGGTTTTGAATCTCACCCAGATCTGCTGGCTCAGGTCCCATGGGTGCTGTGGATGCATGTGTACCAGGCTGAGTGACAGCAGTGTTTGCCCACTTGGCATCCAGGGTAAGGGCCCTTCCTGCTTCCCTGTGGGACACTGTGGACAAAGGGAAGGGTCATCTGTGGACAGTGTGAGCAACCTGCACAGATGGGCGGAGTCAGTGCGTCCTCCTTCCTGCTGGGCACTGTCCTTCCCTGTGTCCAAAGGCTGCAGTGGCCTCCACGCAGCCTGAGAAAAGGGGAGCAGTTGGCAGGGCTCGCAGCCTGTGGGGCTTCACAAAGCCAGACCCTGAAGCACTGATGGCAGAGTCCCCCAGTGTCACCTGGGCCCCTCTCTGGGCCCTGCCTCAGGCAGTCAGATGCCTCTGCGTAAGCAAAGGCACCCTGTTTAGGTCCGTGGTTATCACCACACTTTGCACTCGACACTGCTTTGCTGAGCAGCACTTCCCTAAACCCACCCTCCCGCGAGGCTCTCCACTCCTGTGCAGGAGGCTGCTGCTGACGAGCTCTGGCCCCAGCACTGCTGCTCTGGCCACCAAGCTTCCGGGTCTGGGGAGGGTGCAGGCTGAGGGAGGAACACAGCTGGGCCTGTGTGAGCTTCTCGATTCTTGTATTCAGCATAGAGCACAGTCGGGGAGCACAGGCATGCTTCAAGCCTTCCTGACCTCCTCCTCTTTGCCTGCCTTAGTGAATCACTCTTTTGTTTCATTTTAGACGTCACCTGTACGGTTAATGGAGCGGTCGATTCACAGCGCAAGATACATTTTTGTAGAAAACCTGTATAGAAGGTATCATAGTTTGCACTGTTGATATTGTATTAATTTGTTCAAAATGAAATTGGAACTTGTTTACCCAAATGACAGATGTTGAGTACCTACCAGCTATCTATTGCCGTAGTAATGCTGTGTAACAAACAACCTCAAAGCCTCAGTGGCAGGCAGCTGTCTACACTGACTGCTCAGTCATGTAGGGTGGTCGGCCAGGCGGCTCTGCTGACCTTGGCCGGACTCCCTGATATGTCTGGGGAATGGCTGGTCGAGGATAGCCCTGGGAAGGGTGAGGAGGTGACTCATCTCTCTTTCTCTTGCCTCTCGTCCTCCTCCTGGGACCAGCAGGCTAGCCTGGGCACTCACTCCTCATGTGATGGCAGAAGGCAGCAGCGCCAGCTGAGATGCATGATTGCTTTTCCAGGCCTCAGCTTCACATTTGCTAACATCCCGTTGGTCAGAGCTGGTCACACAGCTGACCCAGTCTGAGAGGTGGGGGGCCTTTGGGGGTTATGTGGCCGAGTGAGAGGATATAGGGAGGTGAAGATTTGGAGCGCCCAGAACAGTCAGTCCAGCACAGTGTGCATGATATTTGTGGGGAAGGTAGGGAAAGGCTGTAGTGTTTAATCTTTTTGGGCTGCTTTCCTGCCCTGGTAATTTTATACGCATTTATTCCCCGCTGCCCCTCCCAGGAAGCCTGGCATCTGTGATTAGGATTTCCCGGGGACAAAGAACCATGGGAGAAATGTACAGTGTCCTATTTCTGTTCTTGGAATCTTATGCTTTCAAGCTCATATGGCCCCCAGAGGGCATGGATTCCTCTGCAGACCTTGTTGGAACCTCAATCAAGACCAGTTCTGGTCTCACTTGATGAAGCCAGAGGCTGTGGGTCGGGGTGTGGGCTCAAGTGCTCCAGGGGCTGCTGGGAGCACCATGCACTGTGGCGGGCCAGGCCACCCACCACTGGTTCCAGGGAGGTGTGAGAAGGTTGTGCTCCTCAAGCCCTTCCCCTGAGTCCTCAGAGGGCAGAGGCAAGATCACGCAGGCCGCCAGCTCCCCACTTGTCCTCCCTGCCCCTGTGGCCCCAAGCAGGCTGCTAACAAACCGGACATTTCTGTGACATTTCCTCTTTACGTTAGAAAGTCATTGGATTTTGCCTTCTAGCCCATAACATGCTCTTCGGTTTGTATCTGTGACAAACATCCTGCTTAGCATGTGGCTTGGAGTTCCCCCACCTTTAGCCTCACACTCCAGAGTCCCCAAGTTCGGGAGGCAGAGAACGAGGGCGCAGCACTGAGAAGCACGTTCCCAGTGCCGGGACTCACTTGGGAACTGGGCCAGCTTATCTGTCTTCCCAGTGGCCAGGGGCAGAGCAGGGACCCTTGGCAGGAGCTGCATTATCGTCTTCACCTGTCCTTCCCCTGGGCACCCTCCGGACCACCCTGTTTGGCAGATCAGGAGTTGAGATGGGATTGGAAAGCAGTGCTCCTTCCTGATTGGCTGGGGGAGCTGTCATGCACCTGCTGTGAGGGGCAGCAGCGATGAGGAAGTGTGTGTGTGTGTGTGTGTGGGGGGGTATGTAGATTCCTCTTGTTAATAAGGCCAGAAGCATTGGGCCTATTGGAGCCCCCAAAGTGCTGGGTCAGGGGAGCCAGGCCTTACAGTTGGCATTGGTTGCAGGCTCAGGTGCCCAGAAAAGCCCACAGATTGGCATTCTGCCTCCACCAAAGCAGGATTTCTTGAGGGGTGGTCTTGCCTTTTGGGTCTCAAACAAGTGAGCAGTTCTCCTAGGGCAGTGATGGCGAACCTATGACACGCGTGTCAGAGGTGACACGTGAACTCATTTTGTTGGTTGATTTTTCTTTGTTAAATGGCATTTAAATATATACAATAAATATCAAAAATATAAGTCTTTTGTTTTACTATGGTTGCAAATATCAAAAAATTTCTATATGTGACACAGCACCAGAGTTAAGTTAGGGTTTTTCAAAATGCTGACACGCCGAGCTCAAAAGGTTCGCCATCACTGGCCTAGGGAGAGGCCGCCTCTTCCAGCCCTTCCCCTCCCACCCCTCTCCCCGCCCCAGCCAGTCAGGGGTGGGCAGAATGACAGTGCAGTTAGGCCCCGGGGCTGTGTGCTGTCCTGAAGAGGAAGATGTGTGTGTCTCTCACACATCGATGTTTCTCTCTTTCTCTCCTCCCCCCAGCCTTCCGCTCTTTAAAACATCAATGGGTACTTACCTGGAGGTGCCATGGTCAGGGGTGGCTTCCCAGGGCGAGGCTTACCCATGGCACCCAGATGTGCTGACCCCTGCGACTTCCCCAAGTGTGATTTGTGGTATGGGGACTGCGTTCGCACTCTCCCCTGGGAAAAAAAATCAGTGGGAAAAAATACCCTCGGGTGAGGATTAACAACAAAAATGACCCTGAGTTTGGAGCACAGGCAGGTCCTCCTGCCTCCCCGACTGGCCCTGGGGCTTGGCCTCCTCCCCGCTGTAGTCCCAGTGGGGACTCGTGGCCTCTCGAGCCCAGGACGTGACCCAGACCAGCCCCTCGGTGGACAGACCAGGGAGGGCGAGTGATACAACGAAGAGCCACTGGGTTTGGGGGCCACAGAGAGTCGGGCTTGGATCCCTGCCCAGAGTTGAGCTTCCCTGAGCCTCAGTTTTCCTCACCTATGAATGGCCTCACATGGTCTTGTGAAAACAGAAGAAAATACGTATGCAAGGTGACTGGCATTGGAGGTGAGGTTTCTGTCCCGGCTTGTGCTGTGTAAACTGGGGGCTCTCTGGGCCTCAGGGCGAAGGTGGCAACAAGCTGTGCCGGACAGTTACAGTCAGCAGGGTTACGGGGACCCTAGGCCGCGATTGTGCCACTTGCTCTCGGGAGGGTTCATGAGAGCCCTCAGCCAGCCGTTGGTGAGTTGGGCCTTTGGATTTTCTGTGGAGGCTCTGCCATCTGTGTTCCATGGAGAGCAAAGCAGTGGCCTGTGTGGGGCGCTGGGCACGCCATTTTCCAGGCAGATGGGGAGGGGGTGGGGGAGAGGTGGGGGGGCAGAGCAGGCAGAGTTCCCAGGAGGAAAACCACAAAACAGCACCCACTGGCTGACATCCCTTTGGGGGCCCCCTGCACGCCTCCCGGGCCCTCCACTCTCCTTGGGGTTGCTCTCACCAAGCCCATTCTGAGTGGGTCGGAGATGGATGTTAAAAGGGGGAATTCCTCCCTGGGGCCCTGGAGGGTCACCAGCTGTCGAGGTCTGTTTCTCCAGCTGCGGCCGTTCTCCTTTCCTGTTTGTGTCCTCCGGGCGGGTGAGGAAATCCGCAGGAGCCGGGCGGACGCCAGGTCTCTCTCCGCACCTCGGCTCCTCTTCCCTCCCCTCTTCCCTTCCTTCCTTTCTTTTCCAGTTTACACTTTAAGTACGTGCAGTCTCCCTGACCCCCACTGTTGATTTGAGAATGAATCTGTTGTTAAATTTTGGGAAATACAGCAAAGTATAAAGAAAAAAGTAAAGTCTCACAGAGTCCCCCAGGTCAGAGAAAAGCACTTTGAACATTTTGGTGTTTCTCTTTTCAGTCTTTTTTCAAACTGTGTGGACAAATACTTTAAAACATTTGGTTGGGTCATGCACAGCTTTTGTTGTTTTGCTTCTATGACAAACTTTATTCAAATCATGCAGAGTTTCGTATCCTGCTGTTTTCATTGAATTAGGAGCATCTGAACGTCAGTGAATATTATTTTACAGCATCACCTTTCGGTTACTGCATGGTTTTCTCTTCTATAGATGTATCAAGGTTTAGTTTTTTTTAAAAAATACGTTTTTATTAATTTCAGTGAGAGGAAGGGAGAGGTAGAGATAGAAACATCCAGGATGAGAGAGAATCATCGATCGGCTGCCTCCCGTACGCCTCCACCCTGGAGATCAAGCCTGCAACCCGGGCATGTGCCCTGACAGGGAACTGAACTGTGACCTCCTGGTTCATAGGTCAGTGCTCAACCACTGGGCCATGCCCACCACGCCCAAGGTTTAGTTTTTCATTATTTTATTTTATTATTTTTTAAATATATTTTATTGATTTTTTACAGAGAGGAAGGGAGAGAGATAGAGAGTTAGAAATATCGATCAGCTGCCTCCTGCACATCTCCTACTGGGGATGTGCCCGCAACCCAGGTACATGCCCTTGACCAGGATCAAACCCGGGACCCTTCAGTCCGCAGGCCGACGCTCTATCCACCGAGCCAAACCGGTTTTGGCATTTTTCATTATTTTAAACAGTGCTACGCAGACATCGGTGATTAGTCCCACAGAATGAGTTTTTAGAGGTGAAGTCGGTTTGTCGTGCCACCTCCTAATCCGAGCACTGTCCCTGTTCTCGGGGGACAGGCTTCAGAGCCCCTTTCTCCGCTCGGAGTTCGAACTCGAAATGGGTTTTCATCGGGCAGTGCCACGACTCGTGCTGCCTTACCCCCTAGCCCGTCGCCGGACGGCGGAGGCTGAGGTGTGAAGGTCCTTGTCATCACCACGCGCCCACTGCCGTGTGGGTCACACTGGGGTGCCCTTGGCAGTGCCCTTCAACCAAGGCCATTGCAGTTACTTTGGGGGAATGGCACCTCCTAGAAGCTCCCCTGTGGGTAAGCAGAGCCCTCACGCCTCATTGCAGCGGGAAGATGCCCGAAGTGGACTACGTGATTTTGTCGGAATGGTATGACTGGATCGTGAGGAACATCGATGTGTCCGTGGATTTGATAGGTGAGACGGCCCAGGCCCGTCCTGACTTCCCTCCTGGGCCTCCCTCCCCTGGGCCCTGTGAGGATGAGCTTGTCCAGGTTTCCAACCAGCCAGCAGGGCGGGGCCCTTACTGTGGTGCTGCTTCTGCCACAATAATTCAGCCTTGTGCCCAAGGGCAGATGGAAGGGGGCGGGGGGCGGCTCCTGGTCCCTCCTGGAGAAGCACCTGCCTTTGTTCCTCAGGCTGTTCTCCCTGTGACTTGGTGGGTCCACTGTGATTTGGTGTTTTTTTAGTTTGTAAGGGAGGGAGGAGATGAAAAACCTAGACATTAACTGAGACCCACCGGGGGCTGGGCCCTGTGCTAAGCTCTATGTCTGGAGCCTTATTGAGCCTCACAGTGACCCAGTGGGGCTCATGACATTGAAAGGGAATGAAAGAAGGGATGTGGTCAGGGGGCCTGTCAGGTCACACAGCTGGTCAGTGGTGGAGCTGTGAGCCGACCTTGGCCGTGTCTCCTGCTCCGAGATGCCGGCAGGTGTTTCTCTCCAGTGCCTTCTTCCCCTTCTCCTTGGCTTTCACTTCCAAGCCGTGAACAGTCGTTAGAGCCACATGTGTTTTTTAAATCTCAGTGTATCTCCGGACCACTCCCGAGACCTGCTATCAGAGGTTAAAGATGAGATGCAGGGACGAGGAGAAGGTCATCCCACTGGTAAGAGCCCTTGCACCTGGTTAGAGATGACCTGGGAGCCACCAGCACCCCAGCCTGGCCCCACCCTCTGGGAGACCCTGGGCTGCTGTCAGAGAGAGGGAAACAGGAACCGAGCGTCTCTGAGGGGGAACTCTGACTTCCTCTGTGGTTGGAGACCCCGCGTCCACATCTGCTTCACTTCCTGTGTCCCAGACTCAGCGGTGGGCACCCTCCCCCATCCCTGCCCAGGCATCACCAGGGCTTGGCTGGCCGCCTCCTGAAGGCAGCTCGCCTCCGTGCCCTCTGGATCCGTTCTAGAACCTGCCCTCTCGCTCACTGCTGCATCCCCAGTGCGTAGTGCTGTGCCGGCTCGGAGGCGACACCCACTGGTGGCTGCTTAACTGCTTCAGCCTCCGGGTCGGCTCAAGGCCACATTGACTCTGGTTGGGATTGGTTAACTGCTCTCCTTGCCCTGGCCCCCCTCTCCCCTCATCTGCCTCTGAAATCCAGCCTCCACCCTGCTGCCTGGGTGGTGTTTGCAGTGCAGGGCACCACGGGTGCAGTCCCAGCCCAAACCCTTCAGGGCCTCATCACGGTTTAGGCCCGGGGCGGGGAATGTCCGGCCGGGATAAGGCCCGAGAAACCATCTGGTCTGGCCCTGCCCAGGCATTAGGGGCGAGTTAATTAAATGTTTGACCAAATAGAGCAGGCTGATTTTTAGTTATAATTATGTATGGCCCACAAATGATGTTATAAATATCCAAGTGGCCCCTTGGCAGAAAAAAGGTTCCCCACCCCTGGTCTAGAATCTCCGTAGGTTTGGGCTGTGGGAGTGGGGCTCCTAGGCCAGTGAGGGTCACACTCCTCTCGGGGGAGGGAAAGGTTTAGGCTGCCCAGGGCTAGGATGCTGGGCCATGGGCCCCCTCCCCCAAAGGAACTGGTGGCTCCGCTGTTAAAAAAAAAAAGGCAGTAATGAGAGAATCCCGCTGGGAGGGTGTGTGGAAAGCCCAGCGGTGTGCACCAGAGGCCTGGGCTGGGCTGGCTGTGGGAGTGAGCAGCTGCACTTTCACTGTCCGCCTGAGCCAGGTTGGTTTTCGTGGGCTTCTCTGTCCAAGCCACTGCCCATGGTCAGTGACGTCCACCCTACCTGCCCGAGACCCCGGGTGGGAGAGGCGTGCCCGCTCCCTCGTGCCTCAGCGGCCTGTGTGTGTGTTTCCGGCAGGAATACCTGGATGCTATTCACCACCTCTACGAGGAATGGCTCACCAAAGGGGGCCTTTTCCCCATAGTGGCCCCTGTTCTGGTAAGTCCTCCTGATAGGGCAGGAGACTTTTCTAGAAGGAAGAGTGGCCCGGGAATGGCGGCCGCTCTGCAGTCTGGGGAGGGGCCGAGTCCTGCAGCGCTCGGGAATGTGCAGGAAGGAAGCAGGGAGGGTGGGAGGGTGGCTTTCCCTCTCCCAGTCCCCGTTCTGGACGAGTCTCAGTGACTTGGACAGACCCGAGAGAAGGTGATTTGACTCAGTGTCATTACACCGTGGCCACGGCAGCATCTCACTTACCCAGCATCACCAGCGAAGGAATGTTCTAGGTGGCTAAAGCCTCTAGCCCCGGGTTTTGGCCTTAACCATTGGGATGGTGGTCTTCCCGATGGAACAGCCCCTTCTCCAGCGGATGGCGGGCGCGGAGCCTCGCTGCACCTTTCCTCGGTGACTCGGGGCGTCCGAGGGCCCGTCGTGTGCTGTTCTGGGCGGGCGCACAGTGATGCCTGTAGCGGGTGCTGAGCTGCAGCACTGTTGGCCCCAGGTTACTAATGTCTCGGAGCTCCTGTGCTTGCCTTTTACGGCAACCCCTCTTTCTCCTGCCGACTCTCGCCGTTTCTAACTCTTGCTATGTCTGCCCCATCCGTGATTCCTTGCTTCTCCGTCCCCTTGTTTGTGATTTGCTGCTGCTGCATCTCTGCAGGCAGCCCTGGCCACCTAAGACTGCTAGGAATGCGTGTGCAGCGTGGACCTGCGGGAGGGCCGTGCACAGACGTTGCGCCTGGCCTTGGGGACATCTGTTTGGGCTGCTCAGACACTTCCACTCATGGCTCTTCCAGGCAGTGCGGTTGCTGGGAAGTGAGACATTACTATAGTGGGTTTTAAAAATACAGTACAGTTTTCCCCTCATTGTAGAAAATTAGACGGTATAAAATGATGAGAACCTACCTCATTTATGAGCTCGCTGCAGGGACAACTGCAGCGGATTCTTCAGTGAAAATAGAGCCGAGAATTTAGATGGACCTAGAACGGGCGAGGTTTGGCTTTAACCTGCCTCTTGCTGCCTCCTCCTGCCTCCAGCTCTCTCTCTTCACCTTTGAAGGGAGGAGGGTGCTGAAGCCGAGTGCAGGCTGTGACTGTGTGTTTAATTTCCAGGTGATTGAGGCTGACCACGACATGCCGAAAATGTTAGAACTCTTTGAACAAAACCGGGACCGGATATTGACTCCAGGGAATCGGACACATGGTCCATAGGACAGGAAAGATCGTGCCAGGAAAATGCCCGCGGCTGCCAAGTGAGCCCTTGGGAGCGTTGTGGAAAACCTCCTCTTGGGAGGGCTTTGAATCTGGCCAGATTTGTTTTCTAATGGTCTTTCTCCTTTGCTGGTGTCTTTATCCTGGTTTCTGGCCCTAGGGGGTAAGTGTGAATGGGGCCACTGGGTTTGTCATGCCCTTCAGTGTGCGCAGCCTTGCTGGGCCCCTCTAATGAAGCCCTGAGGAAGGGCTGGCTGACATCATGCTGGGCTCCTGGTCTCACCCCTCAGGCCACACAGGAGGGTGAGAGTGGGCTTACATCCCAGAAGTTGAAGCTCAGAGAGGCTAAGGGACTCCCCAAGGTCACACAGCCAGGGAGTCGGCATCATCCAGCCTTCTGGCAATTCCAAAAATGTTCCCCTGCCCCAGGCCAGTGCCTGGGGCAAAGGTCATCATTTGTTTATGATTTTAGCAGCTGTCAGGACAATCAGCATTTCTAGACATTCACAAAATTGTGCCGTGTTTGGCCCAAGGCCAGCGTTCATTGGTTTCTCAGCACAGGCCACTGTGGCATTTATACCTGGGCACCTGGGCTTCCATCCGTGGGAGGATTCTTCGTTGGCTCTGAATGGTGGTTGGTCTCCTGCTGATGAAGGTCTTGCTGCCGTTCCCTCTCAGGGAAGTGGCCTGTGGCCCCTGGCTGGTCTGCCCAGCGCTGAGCAGGCAAGGGGCCTCCAGCCCTGGCTTTCGAGCTCTCTTACCCCATAGTGGCCTTGTATGCGACTGAGAGTTTGTTCCCGGGAAAGGGGGTTGTGGGGGGAGACATGCAAGGGGCCTTAAGTCTTCCGATCCAAGGGGACACCTTCAACCATAAAGCATGAACCATCTCTATTGGTTCAGAAAAGATCTTAGCTTCGCGCCTCAAGAGCAGTGGTTGCAAACACAGGGAGGGGCCGTTGTGAACTCTGGGGAGGCAGGCCTGGACCCCTCTCTCCCTGAGAAGCGGTTGGTGGAAATGAAGGTTGGGAGGCCTTGTTCCAGCCTCTGTGGGTGTGGCACCCGGCACCAAATAGGTGGCAGGTGCTCCCAGTCCCAGAGGGAGGCGAAGGGGCAAGCACGCTGGCTTCAGCCCTTCCTGTCTGGACTGCTTCTTGGGCTGTGTGGGCGGGAGGAGGGGCAGCAACCCGAATGATTGACTGGGAACCTGGAGGAGGCGGAGCCCCTGCTGCCAGGACCCTTCACCTGCGGGGCCATCTCTGAGAATTTGTATGTGATCGGGCCACTGTTTTTCCCATGGCTCAGTCTGAGCATCTGTCCTGGGGGAAATGTGATTTTTTTTTAAAAAAAAATCTCGCTTTGCAACAGCCAATAAATCCTGCACCTAAAAGCTGATGTTTGTTCTGGAGCGCTTCCTATGCCAGCGGCACAGCTGTGGGGCTCCTCACACCCCAAGCTGATGGTTTTCCAGTCTGTTGTCTCGGTCTGGGCAGACCTTCTCCCTGGGCCCAGCTGGCCTCCCACCCCCCTGTCCCCTCAGGCACAGCCTAGATTTGTCATAGTCGGGGATGGGGGGATTGTGTCCTCTCCAGGCTCATCTCTGGAAGTGCCCAGAAAAGCAAGAAGTGACCAGTTGCTAAGTTTTAAATGAATCTTACCCTTTGGGATCCACTTAGCTCTGTGGGTGGGGCTTGGGATTTGGGTTCAGAACATGGGCTAGGACCCCAGTTTCCGTAGTTACTGACTGCAGGGCCTTGGGCAGGTCACCCCCGCTGCGGTCCTGTGTTTCCCTCCCCTGGACCTGGGCTCTGTGTTTCCCTCACGGGGAGGGGCTGCACAGATAGGAAGGGATGGGTTACTGGGGGATGAACATAGCGGGTACTTCCCGCTCCTCCCCAGTCCGCCCACCTCTCTCCACTTGGCTGGACTTTCTTGTACGTTCACTGGCAAAGTTACTGGAGGGGGAAGCTGTTGGGCTGCTCCAAGTCAGGGCGGGGGAGATCCTGCGTTTTCGTTTTTAAAACTTGCTTCTCCATCAGGGCTCTGAGGGAAGTATTATCTCAGTGTCCTTGCCAGCCAGTTGCCCACCCCAGAGTCCCCAGGCGATCTGTAAGCAGGCCTCTGGTCTCTCCCTGCCTTCTGACAGCCCTTCCTGGGCATCGGCCCGGTGCCAGGCTCTGTGCTGGGTGCCAGGCCCACACTGGTGAACAGGACAGACATGGGCCATCCACTCCTGAAACATTAGCTCATCATAGCTTCTCTCACCCTGAAATACCCTCCAGAAAACCCACAGGGCGGCGGGAGGGCACCAGCAGCCTCACTCCAACACAGTGATCTGTCCCAAAGGATGAATGACAAAACCAGCACAAACAATAGGATTTCAGTGAAGGAGCAAGGCACAAAATTAGCATACAAACAGTCCACAGAAGTTAGGAGGGTAGTGAAAATCCCATGCAAAATGTTAGCAAGAAGATTGAATACTTTGGAATAAATTTAGCAAGAAATGTGCAAAACTATACAAGAGCAATGCTAAAGACACCGGGTAGGACTTGCACAGTCCATTCTGGGAGGGCAGGACTCAGCATGATAAAGATGCCAGTTTCCCTGAGTCAATTTACACATTCAGTGCAATCCCACTAGAAACCTCATAGGCTGTTTTATGAAGTTAGTCACATTTGACCAAAGTTCATGTAAAAAACCCCCCACAAACCTGTAGAAATGACCAGGAAACCACTGAGAAAGACGATGATGGAGGACTAGCCTTACCACACATTCAAACATACTGTAAAACCTCTGCAATTACAGCCATGTGGTCCTGGTGCAGGAAGAGACAAATAGACCAGGAATAGAGTAGGGAGCCCGAGATGGACCCAAGTACACGTGGAAACAGCATCCGATGAAGGTGCCATCTCAGATCACTGGGTTGGAGATGAACTTTTTAATAAATAGCTGAGATGACTGGTAACCATTTGGAAAAAGTCAGAAATAGATTCGTACCTCACACTATTCTTAAGAACCCCTGGTGAGGGTTCTGAGTGTAAACATTAAAACCATACAAGCACTAGCAGGAAACGTGGATGAATTCTTTTTTTAAAACCTTGGTGTAGGGAAAGCTGTCCACCTGAGAGTCAAAATCCAGGGGCAATAAAAGATGAATACATTTGAGTAAATTAAAATTAAAAAATTCATGTGACAAAAGCACACACACCATAAACAAAGACAAAAGGCAATTAACAAACTTGAAGCATAATCACAACACACGTGACAAAGGGCTAATATCCCTAACTATCCATGAAGATTATTTAAAACATGAAGGACAGAGGATCAAAAACCCAATAGAAAAATGAGTACAAGACGTGAACAATTTACAAAATGGCCCTTAGGCATGAAAAATACTCAGATTGACTCACTTAGAGGAATGCAAATACTGTGGTCTGAGTATTTGTGTCCCCCCTCCCCAAGTTCACAGTTGAAATCCTAATGCACACGGTGATGACATTGGGAGGTGGACCTTTGGGAGGTGAGTAGACCATGTTGGTGGAGCCCTCATGAGTGGGATTAGTGCTCAAATCCACAAACGACAAGTGCTGGAGAGGATGCGGAGAAAAAGGAACACTCCTGCACTGCTGGTGGGAATGCAGACTGGTGCAGCCATTATGGAAGACAGTATAGAGTTTCCTCAAAAAGTTAAAAATGGAACTCCCATTTGACTAAGTGATCCCACTTCTAGGAATATATCCCAGGAAACCAGAAACACCAATCAGAAAGGATATATGCAGCCCTATGTTCATAGCAGCACAATTTACCATAGCAAAGATCTGGAAACAGCCTAAGTGCCCATCAGTAGATGAATGGATTAGAAAACCGTGGTACATCTACACGATGGAATACTCTGCTGCTGTAAAAAAGAAGGAATTCTTGCCATTTGCAATGGCATGGATGGAACTGAAGAGCATTATGCTAAGTGAAATAAGCCAGTCAATGAAGGAAAAATACCACATGATCTCACTCATTTATGGATAATAAAGACCATTATAAACTTATGAACAAAAATAGATACAGAGGCAGAGCAGCATCGGACAGGCTGTCAAACTGCAGCGGGAAGGCTGGGGAGGGTTGGGGTGCGGGAGGGGGGGTAAGAGATCAACCGAAGGACTTGTATGCATGCATATAAGCATAACCAATGGACATAAGACACTGGGGGGTAGGGGAGGCCGGGGGAATGTCAAGGGGGGGGGAAGGAGACATATGTAATACTCTGTAATACCTTAAGCAATAAAACAAACAAAAAAGCCGAAACCGGTTTGGCTCAGTGGATAGAGCGTCGGCCTGCGGACTGAAAGGTCCCAGGTTCGATTCCGGTCAAGGGCATGTACCTTGGTTGCGGGCACATCCCCAGTGGGGAGTGTGCAGGAGGCAGCTGGTCGATGTTTCTCTCTCATCGATGTTTCTAACTCTCTATCTCTCTCCTTTCCTCTCTGTAAAAACTCAATAAAATATATTAAAAAAAAAAAAACAAAAACAAAAAAAAACAAACAAACAAACAAAAAAAATCCCCAAAAAACCCAGCCTTCTGTTCGTTACAGCTCTGTGGCCGCCGCCATCTTATTTGGGTTAATTTGCATACTCGCTCCTGATTGGCTTGTGGGCGTGGCTTGCACCATAGCGGCGTATGAGGCTATAGCCAGTGATGGTGAACCTATGACACGCGTGTCAGAGGTGACACACGAACCCATTTTTTTGGTTGATTTTTCTTTGTTAAATGGCATTTAAATATATAAAATAAATATCAAAAATATAAGTTTGTTTTACTACGGTTGCAAATATCAAAAAATTTCTATATGTGACACCGCACCAGAGTTAAGTTAGGGTTTTTCAAAATGCTGACACGCCGAGCTCAAAAGGTTCGCCATCACAGTGATGGCGAACCTTTTGAGCTCGGCGCGTCAGCCAGTGATGGCGAACCTTTTGAGCTCGGCGCGTCAGCCAGTGATGGCGAACCTTTTGAGCTCGGCGCGTCAGCCAGTGATGGCGAACCTTTTGAGCTCTGCGCGTCAGCCAGTGATGGCGAACCTTTTGAGCTCTGCGCGTCAGCCAGTGATGGCGAACCTTTGAGCTCGGCGCGTCAGCCAGTGATGGCGAACCTTTGAGCTCTGCGCGTCAGCCAGTGATGGCGAACCTTTGAGCTCGGCGCGTCATCCAGTGATGGTGAACCTTTTGAGCTCGCCGCGTCAGCACAGCGATGGCGAACCTTTTGAGCTCGCCGCGTCAGCACAGCGATGGCGAACCTTTGAGCTCTGCGTGTCAGCCAGTGATGGCGAACCTTTGAGCTCGGCGCGTCAGCACAGTGATGGCGAACCTTTGAGCTCGGAGCCTCAGCCAGTGATGGCGAACCTTTTGAGCTCGCCGCGCCAGCACAGTGATGGCGAACCTTTTGAGCTCTGCGCGTCAGCCAGTGATGGCGAACCTTTTGAGCTCTGCGCGTCAGCCAGTGATGGCGAACCTTTGAGCTCGGCGCGTCAGCCAGTGATGGTGAACCTTTTGAGCTCGCCGCGTCAGCACAGCGATGGCGAACCTTTGAGCTCTGCGTGTCAGCACAGTGATGGCGAACCTTTGAGCTCGGCGCGTCAGCACAGCGATGGCGAACCTTTGAGCTCTGCGTGTCAGCACAGTGATGGCGAACCTTTGAGCTCGGCGCGTCAGCACAGTGATGGCGAACCTTTGAGCTCGGCGCCTCAGCCAGTGATGGTGAACCTTTTGAGCTCGCCGCGCCAGCACAGTGATGGCGAACCTTTTGAGCTCGGCGCCTCAGCCAGTGATGGTGAACCTTTTGAGCTCGCCGCGTCAGCCAGCGATGGCGAACCTTTTGAGCTCGCCGCGTCAGCCAGTGATGGCGAACCTTTGAGCTCTGCGCGTCAGCCAGTGATGGCGAACCTTTTGAGCTCTGCGCGTCAGCCAGTGATGGCGAACCTTTTGAGCTCTGCGCGTCAGCCAGTGATGGCGAACCTTTTGAGCTCTGCGCGTCAGCACAGCGATGGCGAACCTTTGAGCTCGCCGCGTCAGCCAGCGATGGCGAACCTTTGAGCTCGGCGCGTCAGCACAGCGATGGCGAACCTTTTGAGCTCGGCGCGTCAGCACAGTGATGGCGAACCTTTGAGCTCTGCGCGTCAGCACAGTGATGGCGAACCTTTTGAGCTCGGCGCGTCAGCACAGGGATGGCGAACCTTTGAGCTCGGCGTGTCAGCATTTTGAAAAACCCTAACTTAACTCTGGTGCCGTGTCACATATAGAAATGTTTTGATATTTGCAACCATAGTAACACAAAGGCTTATATTTTTGATATTTATTTTATATATTTAAATGCCATTTAACAAAGAAAAATCAACCCCAAAAATGAGTTCGCGTGTCACCTCTGACATGCGTGTTACAGGCTCGCCGTCACTGAATGAGCCACTGAATACCCTTTCTTGTTTCAGTTGGGTTTCTGCCTCTGGAACTTGACTAACAGGCTCAGAGCCTGGCAGCGAGTGGAGGGCTCCCCATTTCCCGGGCTGTCCCCCCCTCCGCCTGTAGTTCAGGTGCCAGCGTTGTGGCAGGTCACGGACCAGGCAGCCAGCAGCCGTAGGGCAGAAGGTAGGGCAGACCTGGGATGCCTTGGAGCAGTGGTTCTCAACCTTGGCTGCACGTTAGAATCACCTGGGAACCTTTTTAAAATCCTGATTTCTGGGCCCCACCCTCCGGAAATTCTGTTTCTTTGTTATGGGGTGGGGCCACGACCTTAGTAACAAAGAAACAGAATTTCCGGAGGGTGAGGCCCAGAAATCAGGATTTTTTAAAAAAAATATATATTTTATTGATTTTTTTTTACAGAGAGGAAGGGAGAGGGATAGAGAGTTAGAAACATCGATCAGCTGCCTCCTGCACACCCCCACTGGGGATGTGCCTGCAACCAAGGTACATGCCCTTGACCGGAATCGAACCTGGGACCCTTCAGTCCGCAGGCCGACGCTCTATCCCAGTGATGGCGAACCTTTTGAGCTCGGCGTGCCAGCATTTTGAAAAACCCTAACTTAACTCTGGTGCCGTGTCGCATATAGAAAAATTTTGATATTTGCAACCATAGTAAAACAAAGACTTATGTTTTTGATATTTATCTTATATGTTTAAATGCCATATAACAAAGAAAAATCGACCAAAAAAATGAGTTCGCGTGTCACCTCTGACACGCGTGTCATAGGTTCGCCACTATCCACTGAGCCAGACCGCTTAGGGCCAGAAATCAGGATTTTAAAAAGATTCCCAAGTGATTCTAATGTGCAGCCAAGGTTGAGAACCGCTGCCTTGGAGAGATGCTGAGCAGGCACAGCTGGGCGGCCGCCCGGTGGGCAAAGGCATGCCCCGCCTCCAGCCCGGCGATTGGTCCTGATAGAGTTCACGTGGGCTTGGGGAGGTGCCATGTGAGGTCAAGCCGTGAGGTCAAGTGTCGGAGGTCAAGCGTGAGGTCAGGCGTCGGGGTCAAGCCAAGCAGAGCCCAGGAAGGAAGGTTCATTCTCCCATGAGGACGCTGCCGGTCCTTCCATTGCTCACAGCCAGAACCTGGTCAGTCATCAGGTCAGTCCCCTGATATGAGAGTGGATGGCCTTGGAGTGTGTGTGTGGGCCTCTGAGTGTGCAAGGGGCGCTTGTGTGTGTGTGTGTGTGTGTGTGTGTGCGCGCGCGCGCACCAAAGCCGTCTAAGCAGACGCCCACAAAACCTCAGGTGCTGTGAGCTGAGCCATGCTGCGTTCAGTGTGTGTCAGGGTGTCTCCAGGAGCAGGGGGTGGGACCCCCACGTGTGGTTGTGCAGGGGGCTTGGCCAGTGCAAGCCGTGGACAGCCATACTCGGTACCGACCCTCCTTCCTCTTTCTCTCGGGTGATTTGCGCTCTCGTGTGGGGTGCTACTGGTGCCCTGTCCAAAGACCTTGGAACACGTGTCCACACACGCCGGCCCATTGTGGTGGCCTCATCTGCCATCAGTTGCAGCTCCCCTTTCTTAACCTTTTGCGCTCCAACGTCGAGGCTGACTCGACAGACCAGGCGCTAGTAGCAGGTCCAACGTCAAGTTGGTGATTGAGCTAATTGGCAATTTCCGCCAGGGAACTACTGCAACCAAGAGAGGAAGGACTTCCAATTCGGGCCAGACTGTTTGAATTCTAAAAATAAAATTGGAGCGCAAAGGGTTAAGACTCCGGCAAGAGGAGGCCACCCAGCCTGCACAAGGGTCCCTCCTCAGCCCTCACCCCTCAGGCCCCTGGCCGAGAGAGGTCAGCCTTGTTTGCAGTGGTGCCCTACTCGGCCACAGGGCGCGTCGTGGATAGAGGAGGCAGGAAGAGCCGAGCCCAACAGTTCCCGGTGCCAGTGGCACCCTGAGTGTGTGTGTTGTTGGGACGGGGTGTCAGTGTAGGGTGGTGATGCCACTACCACGAAGGCTGCTGCGTTCGTTCCCAGGAGGAGGGGCCCCAGAACACGGAGGTGGCACCTGAGCCATGCACACTCGTGTTGAGGACAGAGGAGTGATTGTATCGCATACAGAGATGGGGCTTAGGTATCAGGCTGTGCCCAGAGACAGATGCCGGGAGGGGCAGGGGCTATTCCTGAAAGTGGAATTCATGACTGGGTTAACCTCATGGAACATCCCAAGGGTAGAAGACAAGTTTCGTCTACATCTCTGAGTGACCATGCGCAGTGGGTTTGAACGTGGGACTAGGCCAGCCGTGGGCAAACTACGGCCCGCGGGCCGGATCCGGCCCATTTGAAATGAATAAAACTAAAAAAAAAAAAAAGACCGTACCCTTTTATGTAATGACGTTTACTTTGAATTTATATTAGTTCACACAAACACTCCATCCATGCTTTTGTTCCGGCCCTCCGGTCCAGTTTAAGAACCCATTGTGGCCCTCCAGTCAAAAAGTTTGCCCACCCCTGGACTAGGCAGTGGTCCGCAAACTGCGGCTGGCGAGCCACATGCGGCTCTTTGGCCCCTTGAGTGTGGCTCTTCCACAAAACGCCACGTGCTGGCGCGCATGTACAGTGCGACTGAAACTCAGTGGCCCATGTGCCACACTCAAGGGGCCAAAGAGCCGCATGTGGCTCGCCAGCCGCAGTTTGCGGACCACTGGACTAGGGAATTTGCAGGTTCTTCGGGTGTAGATTCATTTGCTTTTGAACAGTGGCAGCAGGTGGCCAGCAGGTGGCAGTGTGGGCTTGGGGCGGGACTGATGGAAGCAGGACTCTAAAGTCACTGACTACCCACATACTCAATATTTGGTTCAACAGGAAAATGACAAGGCTTCAATGGCTGCTAATTCTGAGAGAAGTAATATATTTTCAGTTTGATGTTGTTTCCTTCCCTTAGAGATTTCAGGTGGTACCAGCCCCCCTTTGATACAATGTTACTTCTTTTTATTTTTTATTTTGAAATTTTAAAATAAATCTTCATTGTTGAAAGTATTACATATGCCCCCCTTTCCCTGCATTGACCTCTTCTAGCCCGCCCCGCCCCAATGATACTTCTTGCGACACTTTTTATGGATATGATGTATTTATTTTGAACACAGAAAACATCCACAGTTGCTTAAATAGCGCTTAATCCAGGAGCAAGAAAAGCTGTTCACTTTCCCACACTGATGAGTACATAGGGGTGCCCCGGCCCCCTTATAGCAGTCTTAAGGGTTGCAGAAGCAGGATGGGTTTCACCCCTGGAGTGCATTTAAAGCAATACAGTACAACAGACAAATATTTTTTGCTTGAAAAACAGTACAAGTAAACCACAAGGTGACAGAACTGCTTGTAAACAAGGTCCCTACTCCACGTGGAGCCAGAAGCTCCAGGTGCTGCCGAACCTTTGACCGGATTCCTTTCAGTCCTGCACCGACAAAAATACTAGTTCTATACAAAATAAAATTCACAATTGCCATTCTTGCTACCCCCTTCTTAAGAAAGGGGTGAGTTGTTTTAGCCCTTTGTGGGGAGGGGGAGGAGAGGAAAGAGGGTGTTTAAGGACGGGCGAGGGAGGCAGAGTGGACTTGAGGTCTCTGCTCCCTGCCACTGGTGATGCTGGTGGGTCCCTCCTCAGGGATTCCCAGGTGCCCCCTCTGGCAGGCTGGGCGTTCAGGAGTCAGCTGTGTGACCTGCATGGCCTCTGTTGGAAACTGCTGGGTTTCATGGGCCAAGATTGGGGCCTCTCTACCACCAGGCAACCCACGCACGCCCTTCCGTGGCGCCCGGCATCAAGGCTGAGAGGCAACCGCTGGTCCTAGCAGCGGCACGATGGGGCTCACATTGCCTTATATTGTCTCTGCAAACTCCCCAGAGGGCGAGGCCAGAGCATGGCAGCTCAATTCCCAAAGGGGCAGCCGCCAGAGGACAGTGTCGGCTCCTGGGGCCTGGCTTGGGCCCATACTTAAGTGAGGGGCCGCTCCTGCGGCTCAGAGCCCTTATGTTCTGAAGATGCTCAGTCCTGGGAAGTGGCTGGACTGATAGGGGCACAGCTGTGACCCTCCCCACCATGGCACACCCACCAGGAGCCCTGTTCATCCCTGTGGTTCAGGGTGGGGGCTGCGGAGATAACTCGGCTGGCAGCGCCAGGCTGAGGGCACTCTGGGAAGGGTGAGGGCAGAGAGGGCTGTAAGGGCCTCCAGGTTGTGCCCCAGCCCCTCAGGCCCGTGTCCGCACCCCGTAAGCGGCAGGGTGGTGATGTGGTTTTGTTGCCCTGGACTTGGCAGGGAGGTTCAGTGTGTAGCTGAGTCCCACTGAGACCTGTCCCACCAACCAGGAGACAGGCTGCCCTTGGAGGGGGTGGGGGCAGACAGCTGACCTGCAATGGTCAGGCTGTTTCTCGAGACAGAATCACAGTTTGGCACCGCCTGCCAGGTGAGGGCAGGGGCAAACAGGCCCGGGAGAGGCGAGAGCAAGCCTTAGTCCCCTCTGCACCTCTCTGCCCAGTGCTGTCTCTAAGTCATCACCGGCAGGCTGGGGAGGGATGGGAGGTAGGGAGAGCTTCCTTTTGAATGCAACCTTCACAGATGAGTTTGCATGGTGCATGTGAGGGGGGCGTCTGTGTATGTGTTTTCACACATGTGGGGCATGTTTGGATGTGTATGTACACATGGGCATGTCACTGTGTATATGTCTGTGTGTGTAAGTTGTATTATATGTGTGCATGTAGGAGTGCTGTGTGTGCGCAAGAGTTTGTGTTGTGTGCATGTGTGTGTGTGCGTGAGTTTGTGTGCATATGTGTCTGTGTGCATTAGTTTGCGTGTGTGTGTGTCTCTGTGTGTGCATGAGTTTGTGTCTGTGTGTGTGTATGTGTGCGTGCACGCGCTCCCTGTGTTCCCGAAAGGTCTTTCTCAGCCCCTAGGGACCGGCAGGACGTGGCCTGCTGGCATTCACACAATCATCTCTGGGCTGGAAGCCAGGCTTCCTTTTGGGCTCGGTGGGCCCTGGGGGCTGCTTGGCTCTGGTTCTGAGCCTGGCAGTGGCAGCAGGCTCGGTGGAGGGTAGGGCCCACACACAGCCTCGTAAGGGGGCAGGGCATCCGTGGAGACGGTGAAGAGGTCACTGTGCGCCTGCTGGGGTCCGCCGGAGCTGTGGCCGCTGTCGGTGTCTATCAGCGAGTAGGGTGGTGGCGCCTCCGTTGGGGGGTACAGCTGGGTGGCCCCTGGCCCCATGCACTCTTCGTAGCTACAAGAGAAGGGACTCCCTCAGGGCCTGTGGGGCCTGGCCTTTGGGCGGGTGTGGGCCTTTCCCCAAGAGCTGAGAGCCTGTGCTCAGTGACAAGCTGCCTGGCGTGGACCAGCCAGGCCTTTGTCATGGCGGCTCCAGTGAAACCTCTCTGCCCCACGGAACCACGAGACCTAGATTCTGGTCCTGACCCAGCCACGTGTTCTGTGTGAACTCAGTGAGCAGGTCTCTGAGCGCTGGGCCACAGGTGGCTCAGAGCAGCAGGATGCTGTGGACCAAACGTCTCCCAGGCTGGCCCCCGAGTGTGGGCAGAGCTGCCTGGAGCAGCTGCAGGCACCCTTGATCTGAAGTCACTCCAAAGTGGCCCTTCCAGCCCTGGGGCCCCTGAGCCAGAGGTGCAGGGCTGAAAAGTGTCCTCCGGCCCGGGAGGGCAAGTGCACTGCCCTCCCCGCACCCAGAGCAGAGGGAGAAGGGAAGAGGGAGAGCCGAGGGTCTCCTGGTAGGAAAGTGATGGAAGCCCCAGACCTCTTCTCTTTGCAAGTACTAGCTGGGGGTGACCTGCCTGAGGGTGGACCTGAAGGCCCAGAGGAGAACTTGCCAATGGGACAGGGCCGCCCGAGGGCCGAGTGCAGTTTGGATGCACTGACCCCATCCCAGTGGGTGTGATTTGGGCTTTGGGGGTGCAAACGAAGGAGCTGGGGCCCGGCCCGAAGGGGCTGCGCTTTCTCCTCCTTCTTGAGTGTCTCCTGGTGGCAGCTCTGAGTCAGACCCTGCCCCCCCCTGGGACCTGCTTGGTCAGGAGGGTGAGAGATGGTCACACGCTCTGAGCAGATGTTTTCTGCGTTTCTACCCCTTAGGGAGGTGTTGCTGTTTCCCATGAGGGGGCATTGTGCCCAGAGCCCCATCCTCTCACACCCTCTCCCCAGGAGGCCTCCTACCTTGGTGGAGCGTCTATGTGCAGCCGGTGCAGAGAGCTGAACCGGTAGCCCCTGAGGCTGCAGGCGCAGCGTATCCCACGGCGGCAGAAGGAGTGCTCCTGGGAGTCTGCAGGGAACAGACATTCGGCCTGGGCCTCAGGCTGGCGTCAGGGGGAGTCCCCCCAGTGGCACCCCAGAATGTGACAGCCCTGTACTGAGCAGTGTGTGATGAGCTTTGGTAGACGTAGTACTGAGGCTGTGGGAACAGAGCAGGCCGGACCCAGCCTGGGGTCAGGGAGGGCTTCCTGGCGGAGGGGCTCCCAGAGCTGAGCCTTGTCTAGGATTTAGCCAGGGGAAGTGGGGCAGGCTGGGCAGAGGGAACAGAACAGCTTGAGCCAAGGAGGGAAAGAAAAAGAAGAGTGTGGTGTGAGCAGGAAGCTTTGAGCTGTGGAGAAGGTCTGGGGCATGAAAGGGGGCAAGAGGCTGTCAGGGAACAAGGGCTACAGAGGTCTCTGGGGCAGGCCTCCCTACTCCCTGCCCCCAACCACACACTATTCCCTTAAGATCCCAGGGAGAAAAGGGTCTTCTGTGATGAATCCTAGCGACTCAGTATACCACATTCTCTTCTGGGTATTTGTTTATGTATTATGTATTATTATCTACACTAATAAAAGACAAAGATGCTAATTGACTGTACCTTCGCTATGCCCATCAGCCAATCAGAAGAGTATGCAAATTAACCCAACAAAGATGGCTGTTAAATTTGCATACTGCAGGCAGGGTGGGACAGCGCGATCCGCCACCCTCCCTGCTGTCATCAGGGCCTGCCATCTGCCACCCGGGAGCGGGCCTAAGCCAGCAGGTGGTTATCTCCCGAGGGGTCCCAGACTGTGAGAGGGCACAGGTTGGGCTGAGGGACACCACCCCCCGCAGTGCACAAATTTTTGTGCACCGGGCCTCTAGTTTTTTAAATAATTCTTTATTGTTGAAAGTATTTCTTCTGGGGTTTTGACCACATATTAGCACATCAAAGGCTCCGAAAAGTCCTGCAGCTGAGGAACACATTCAATTGTGCTCCAGCATTGGACCACAGGATCTTATTTCCTTCTATCTAATAACACTGCATGGGAAATGCTGATGGAGCACAGTCTTCACATTCTACAGCTGAGGCTCAGAGAGGTCCAGGGACTTGCCCGAGGCCACACAGCAAGTTACTGATAGGGCCAGGGCAGTGCTCCACCTCCCCATTTCTGACAAGACTCAAGGTGGCTAGGGGCAAGTGGGAGCTGCAAAAATGGCTGAGACTTGAGGTCTCCCCAACACCAATGGCCTCCCAGGTGGCTCCTCCCCTCAGAGGGCAGGGCTCAGCATCAGGGTGGGGCTTGTTTGGGGTTGTGCTTATGACCTTTCTCTGAGCTCAGCAGCACCCTGACCTCACTCTATAGACCAGTGGTTCTCAACCTTGGCTGCACATTAGAATCACCTAAAAATCTTTTTAAAATCCTGATTTCTGGGTCTCATCCTCGAGGATGCGGATGATTCTAATGTGCAGCCAAAGTTGCCTCATCCTCGAGGATGAGGTGATTCTAATGTGCAGCCAAGGTTGAGAACCACTGCAGTCTAAAGGCTGCCCTTTCCACGCCCCTAAGCTCTTTCCCCCACTCTAGGTACAATGGTGAGTGGAAAAATCTGGGTACAAAACTCTCTCTGCATTTATACCACGTGGGGAGGTGTAAACTCAGGGCAGCGAGAAGGCTCCCGGGAGGAAATGTTCCACAGGCGTCAACAGTGGCTCCGTCTGGATGACAGGACCACGACCCTTATCTTCTGCTTTAGACTGCCTGTGTTTTAAAGGTTTTCTACCATGAACACACGGTACTTCTATACGAGGATAAAGGAGCCCAGTGACGCGCTGTGGAAGGGAGCGGAGATGAGATCTGTTTCTCTTCAGGGCTTCCGCTGAAGAATGGGTTTTTGGAAGAACTTGGGGAAGGAGCTCAGGAAAGAGATAAGCAGGAAACAACAGGGTGATGGCAACCAGGGCCGCTGGGCTCTGGTGCAGGGTCCCGTCCCTGCCAGCGTCGTCAGGAAAGGATCCCACCTGCTGTCCTAACCTCGGGAAAGCTAAGGCTGTTCCGCCGGCCTGAGTGGGGGGCCCTGGTGGGCAGGACCGCCCACACGGCTGTCCACCTCTCTCCTTGAACTGCTTTTCTTGGGTCTCCCAGGGAAACTGAGGCTGCTCTGTGGTGCTCCCTTGGCTCTGTCACTTAGTCACAGTTCAGTCAGGTTGGATGCCTGTGGAGAATGCCTCGGAGCTGCCAGGCTGGCGGCTGGCAGGTGGGGGCGCCAGCCTACATGGCCTGGGAGCAGGTGTTCTAGGGGAAAGATAATGAAAACAGTTAACGCTTACTGAGCACTTACTCACTAGCCAGGTGCTGTCTAGTTTAGTCCTTGCAATAACTTTTGGGGGTGGGTCCTGTGTACCCATTTCACAGATGACTCACGTAGGTACACAGAGGTCAAGCAACTTCCCTGAGGTTGTACAACAAGAACGGAAGATGAGGGCCATTTTGGACTCACTGGGTGTGGGGCCCCAGGGGAAGATGTCTTGGGGATGCCTGGGTGCACGGTCTGGAGCGAGGATGGTGGGTGGTCCTGAGGCTGCCGTGGGTATAGAGAGAGGACCCAGGGCCCTGGCTCCGGCTCTGAGGACCTTGATGCTTTCCTCCTCAGGCAATAGGAACCCACCCAAAAGCCTGGGAGTGGAAGGAGAGAGACGGGAGTCTGTCCCTGGGGCCAGGGAAGGGGTGTTTGAGGACAGAAGGATCCCCAGTGCCAATAGGTCAAAGCTTGGTGCTCTGCCCACAGCTGCACCCAGTGTGTTTTTCCTCTCTTCCCTGGCATCTTTCTAAGGCTCCTGGCAGTGCCATCCCCATCCCCATGCACCCCCAGGAGGCTGGAGGAAGGTGTGGGGGGCATCAGGGAGGTGCCAAAGCCGCAGCTGAGACCAGAAATGGCTAGGGAGGTGGGAGCCCCACAGAGGGTTCCCACAGCAACAAGGCTGCAGGGTGCTGACAGTCGGCGTGGGGTAGCAAAGGCCGGGCTGTGGCCTCCTGCCACTCTCCCTGCTCTGGAGGTCAGGCTAGGTGTCACTCATGTGGCAATGGCTCTGGGGCCCCAACCAAGAGTAGGAGGGACTGGTCTGCCCCCCAGTCCATCTCTCCTCAAGGCCACGGTTGACCTCTCAGACTTCAGCTTGGGAACTACTATGGACCCTTCGCCCATGTTCTGAGTACCAGGCTCAGGCTGGGGGACCTCTAGGCCATTCAACAAGTTGCTCCAGTTTTCCGGCCTTTAAACGGGCGGACACAGTTTTGCTGCGTGGATGAAACCAGGTGGTTCCTTTCCTTGCCCCCAGAGCACTTTTTCTGGGCCAGGTCCTGGCTGGTCTGTGGGCCCACGTGGAGGAGAGCTTTGTGCAGGCCCTGCCGTCCCTGGTGCCACACAGCCATCCTGTGGCAGGGCCACTGGTGGAGGAGGAGGGACAGTGCCAAGATAGTACAGGGAGGAGGGTCCAACTCAATTTGGGAGGGATGAGGAGGGACCAGAGAATCTCCCCAAAGGAGAGAGCATTTGAGCCAGGTCTGGAAGGACAAGTAAGCTTTTGTCTGTGGGGAAGTATGGGAAATGGCATCCTGGACATAGGGAAGGGCATTTGCAAAGGTGCAGAGGTGGCAGGAGCACGAAGGCGGTGCTTTTTCTGTCCGTAGGAGGAAAGAGCCTCTGGCCCTGCCTGGCTCTGGAGCCTCCAAGCACTTAATCTGCTGTGTGCACGGCGCCCCTGGGGTCAGACCACTCCACAGGCCTGCTTTTTCCCTGTCTCGGGAGAAGCCCTGCAGGCGCAGGGCAGGCTTTTTCCTGCCCTTGAAGGTGGTCTGAGAATTAAATACCGTGGGGTTCCTTCCTCCGCTTTTAAATCCCTGGCCCCTTGCGAGAAAGAGAGGGCACACTAGGCAGGTGGGCACTTCGGGGCTGGGCAGCCCAAGAACTCACCACCAGCTCTGTTGAGAGGGTGACCCTGTGACGGGAGGGTCTCAAGTCAGTTCTACTTGCACTTTGCAGGCTTGTCATTCATTCACTCGTCATTCAGCCCATGCATTTATCCATCCACTTACTCATTTACCCACTTATCCCACCCGATACCGCACCTATCCATTCCCCTAACCTCCATCTTTCCACCCACCCACCCACCCACCCACCCACCTACCCATCCACTCACACATCCCACCCAACCCACACTTCTGCCCTCCATCCCGCTATCCATCTACCTCTCCATTCATCCATTTTTCCATCCTCCCATTTGGCTACCCATCCCTCATCCCAGCCCTCATCCCTTTTTCCAACAATCCATTGATCCACCCACTCACCCCACACCTCCCCGCACCTATTCACCTCTTCATCCCCCTATCAGATTACCCTCCCACCCCACTCACCTATGCCTTTCTCCATCCAACCCGGCATCCTGGCACCATCTGGACCAGCTGTCAGTACAGCTGGACCAACAGTGGGCAGGGCTGGGGAATAACAAGCTGTCTTCCCTCTGACCGGCAGCCCCACCTGGGAAGACAACTAGGTTCCCCGCGCCATTGAGGACATCATGGTGAGCATCTGCGAGCTCTTCCTGATCTCCAAGACCTCAGGATGCCTTCCCTGCCCACCCTCCCCCTCTCACGACAGAGCAGCCGCCTCTTTGATGTGTCCTGGGTTGCAGTCACAATTGGATGGGAGGGCCAGGCCCTGAGAAGGGCAGCAGCTCACCTTGGTCAGCCTCGGCGTCTCCACGGTAGTAGCGGCGGCGGCAGTAGCGATGGCGGGGCTGGCGGGGCTGGAGCCGCCAGGCCTTCTTGGCCAGGATGATGGTGACGCCGGAGATGGTGATGACCAGGCCTAAGACTACACATACCAACATTACAGAAGACGAATACACATTTCCCTTCCCGAAGTTCTCTAGTTCAGCGTAGAAATGGTGGGTATGGTTGCCGTGCCAGCCTATTGGGAGCAAAGAGAGAGGATGCTGAGCTGGGGCACAGACCTGGCCACACGCCTTCCTCCTCCAGCCCAGCTGCCCTGGGAGTTATGCATCCCTGGCTCAGTGGAGAAGACTCAGGTCAGGACCAGAGACTCTCTCCTGGCTGCTCCTTCCAGGGAGGAGGGGAGCAGAGTCCTGAAGGAGCCTTTGGTAGCAGGATCTGACCTCCCCTCCGCTCCTCTGATGTCTCTGGCCTCGGAGTTCAACTAACTCATGGATAGGAAAAGGGAAGCTCAGAGAGGGCAATGGCCTTGCCCAGGGTCACACAGTGAATAAGTGAACCCAAGACTCAGTGCTAGACAAGGACTCTCTTTCCCCGAGACACAAGGTTAAAGGGTCAGCAGGTCTTTACCAAGGTCTTGGGAAGGGCTGGGGGATGCACAGGATGATGGAGAATGAGGACTAACTTTGCTGGCCTCCAGCCATGGCCTTCTGCCTCAGGGGCGAAACCTACCCAGGGGACTCCGGGGCAGTCAGACAGGACTTGGCTGTGGGCATCAACTGACCCAGACATGCGGTGCTGGGTTGGGTTGGATCAGGGAAGGCTTCTCGGAGGAGGTGAAGCCAGGAAGCATTCTGGGCAGGGGAAGATTGGGACAAAGGCCCAGAGGTGGGGAGGGACTCCTAGGAAGGGGTGTGGAGTGGTGGGAGCATGGAACAGTTTCTCAGCATGTAATTCATGGACTGTGGATTCCTAAAAACATTACGGGGTATTTGGGGACGAGCTCTTTATCTCCTCAACATCCAAGATTACTTAGAAGCCCTGAGTTGTCTTGGGACCCAAACCAGCCTCAGTCCCAGGTCTTTTATTCGCCAACATCAGTATCCTGAGAAGGTGAATGGCCCTCAGGTCCTCTGGGGAGAAGGGCCCCTCCTTGGCCACCTTCCTTGGGGGAAATCCCAGAGCTCCCCCATCAGCGCTGACCTGCACCTTAGGCTCTGGCGAAGTAAGACACAGGTGGTCCTGGGTTCAAACCCTAGCCCTCCCTCCAGCAGGTGGTGCCCTCTGAGTAATTCACATTTCAGAACCTCTATCGCTTCATCTCTAAAATGGGAGCAGTGATCTCTGCTATGAGTGCATGAAAGCACACTGGCCAGCAGGATGTCTATACACAGTAGGTGCTCAATAAATAACGGTCAAACCTGAAAATTATAAAAATAGACTTCAATGTGAAAGGCAGAACAGTAAAGCTTTAAGAGGAAAACACTGGAGAACATCTTCATGACCTCGGATTTCTTAAACAGGATACAAAGGTACTAACTGTGAACAATGGAAGGTTTTGAAAGAAGTCTTTCTAAATATATTCACCAGCTACCACCTGCCCCAGATCACTGGAGGATGCTTACCAGGGAGGTATCTGTTTGCACAGGCGTCTGGAACTGGTTAAGGGATCCCAAGACGCAAAAGGGTCCTTCTGCACTTCTCTACGCAATCATCCATTTTTCTCCATTAGCCGTTTCACGCTAATAGGTTTGCTCGTCAGGGAATACCCCAGAGAGCAGCTGCACCATCCATTACAGCCGTTCAATGTCACACAGTATTAACAGAGTAGCATGTGCCTTGGGATGATACAGGAAATGAATTTTGAAACCTAGCCCTCATGTTCAATGAGGGGGCCTAGAACAGCCTTTCTTCAAATAAGTGATAAGGAGAATGCCCTGCAGGATTCCTTTTCAGTTTGAAAAAAACATCAAGTCTTACCAGCAGCTGACAGGAAATGTGCGGTATTTACCCAGGCTGTCTTCTCACGATGGCTCACATTCCCCGTGCCCTGGTACCTCTGATTACCTGTCTTTCAGTGTGAGTGTTGCTTTAGTACTTTCCATCCTGCCAAGACTTTTGCAGTTGAAGTATAGCTTGGCTACTGAATTAAACTTAGAAACAGACCCTCATTCAGTTTCTTTTTTTATTTTTTAAATCAGGTTTTTGCATTCTACTCTAAATCAAAGCCAATGTTAGACAAAGGGAAAATAATTGCGCACCCCTTTCTCTTCCGGCGTATTTCACCAGCTTGCCATCCCCAGCGCTCTTGTGACAAGGCAGGGGCAGAGCTGGGCCTTTCATTCATGCACACTTAAAAATATCCTACTGCGAGAGAATGTGCTGAGATTGAGCAGAAACTGATATAGTTAAATCAGCTACTGAAGTTCAGCCACTATTGTGGTTATAGAACTTAGTGCAGTGTTTTTTATTTAATGCTCAATGTAATTTATAATTTAAAGCATTCCAAGAACATGCCACAGGTTTCTGAATCTACAAATTCTGTTCTACACTGCATACTGTCTGGGAATGTGATAGTTGTGGTGTTTTACATAATTGGGTTTTACGCTTGGTATGAATGCCAGTGTGCTGGTATCAAGCAGGTGTAACTGATCATTCTACTCCTGCATAAGGATAAGAAGGGAGCAGTGCCACAGAGCTACTATTTTCATTGCTTAGAGAGGGTTGGTGACATACTGTGCGCATATAGTCACATGTACTATAAGAGTCCTTAAACTACGGATATCATTGTTGATATTTTAAAGCATTGGAGGTACCTTTCTAACTTGAAAAAAATATGAGATTTTGGAAAATGTTTATTTTATGAGCAATCCTTTAAATTTCATTTAACCTAAAGCCTGAAATTTCAATAACAGACAAAAACTCTTTAACAAGGCTGCCATTCCACTGGAAAGGTGCCCACCTTGGCTTTCATGGTTATAAAATTTTAATCTTGGAGGTGAAGTAGTAAAGCCCTCCTTCTTAGGAACTCCAAGGGAGTGTTCCATAATCTTATCTTCTGTATTATTGCCTGTAAAGTTTAAGGTTAAACATGAATAAAGTAAATAATTATACATAACATTTAATAAATGTTATATCTAAAAAGTTAAGGACATCTGTTAACCCAAAGATACCATTATGAGAGTGAAAAGGCAATCCAAAAAGAGGGAGAAAATTTCCACAGAAATGTATCCAACAGAGGACTTGCATTCAGAATATAGAAAGAATTACTATAAATCAGTAATAATAAGATCTAATAGAAAAATGGGCAAAAGAGCCCTGACTGGTTTGGCTCAGTGGATAGAGCGTCGGCCTGCGACTGAAGGGTCCCGGGTTCGATTCTGGTCAAGGGCATGTGCCTTGGTTGCGGGCACATCCCCAGTGGGGAGTGTGCAGGAGGCAGCTGATCAATGATTCTCTCTCATCGATGTCTCTAACTCTCTGTCCCTTTCCCTTACTTTCTGTAAAAAATCAATAAAATATATTTTAAAAAGAAAAATGGGCAAAAGAGTCAAACAACTGCTTCACAAAAGAGGATACCCAAGGTGCTAAACTATATTTAATCACCAGGGAATTCAAAGGAAAGCCACAAAGTGATATCTCTACTCCCCACCAGAATGGCTAAAATGAAAAAAATCCAGACAATACCAAGTGTTGGCAGATTGTAGAGCAACTAGAGCTCTCAGACATGGCTGGTGGGGATATGAATTGGTACAGTTACTCTGGAAAACTGTTTAGCTCTAGCTATTAAAGCTATATATATCTTCTAACCCAGAAATTGTATGCGATGGAATGCATTCTCCAACAGAAATGCATCCATATATTCACCAAAAGCCGTGTCCTAAAACTGTGCAGTTCAGTATGGTGGCCGCTAGCCACATGTAGCTAGTAACATTAATTAAAATAAAATAAAATTTAAAATTCAGTTGCACTAGCCACATATCAAATGCGCAGTAGCTACACATGCTGGCTGGGGGCTATCATATTGGACAGTGAAGACGTAGAACATTCTCATCATCCTAGAAAGTTCTATTGGACAGCACTGTACTAGAACATTTACAGCAGCACTACCCATTCACAGCCCCAAACCGAAGACTATTCAAATGCCCATTAAAGTAGAATGGATACGTGATTTGTGGTATACTCACACAATGGAATACTATATGGCGATGAGAATAAATGGTCCACAGTTATGCTCAGTGGTATGGGTGAATCTCATAATGTGATGTTGAGCAAGGAAGCTGTGAGTTTAGTTTGTTCAGTACACCGATGACTTGTGCACCTTTCAGAAAAGAAGGAAGAGAAATCCCTGATTTGTAGTGTTTGTCAATACCCATGGTGTAAATACTCCCGTCATGGTGGATTTCATGCACCAATGGCTTAACAGCAGCTCAGGAAACTCCTGAATATTTAACTATTGACTCTTGTGAGCTGGTATTTCTACTAAACAAACAAACAAACAAACAAACAAACAAACAAACAAACAAAACAACTCTAGAGAATCCCCAGAAAAGGAACTCGGTTCTCACTGCAGATGTTCAGAGTGTCCCAGTGTCTTGGGACCCGGCGGGGGTAAGAGTGTAGCAGGCAGGAGGGGAAGGGTTTGCCGGTCTGACTCTCCACTGCCTCCAAGGGAGGCTGAGGGGGGCCGGTTATGACAACCTTTCTTCTCGGGTTAACAGTTTTCGTTTCAAAGGAGGGCTGTTCCTTCTCTGCATCTTCCCCGAGAACTGTGGGCTCCGTGTGGAAAGAGCACTTTATGTGGCATCAGGCTGGCGCTTCAGAGCGTTGGCCACAACGTGTTGTGTGACCTGGTCAGTCCCTTTCTGCATCTGAGTTTCTGCATCTGTGATGCTGGGGTAGAGTCCCAGGGCAAATCCCACAGGGCCAGCAGGTGACCTCTTATATCTAATCTACAAGGCAGGGAGAACCTGTTTTATGAAGTTATCCCATCCTGTGCCCATGGTGAGGTCTGGCAGAAGGCTGGCACTACTGAGAACCTGTCAAATGCTGCCTCGCAGTGCCTGGCAGCAAGCTCCAGTCTCTGTGGTAGGTCAAACCTTGGCATCAAACGAAAAGGCTGGCATGACTGTTTCCACTGCACAGATGAGCACATTGAGGTTTCTGGATGTTAGGTAGCTTGCTTCAGATTACACAGCCGGTGTCAGTGCCAGGTTGTACTTGAACCCAAGATCTGTCTCCCTCATCACACGGACTCTGAGGGAGACCCAAGCCCACCCACATGCTCTGCCAGGCTGCGACTGCTGCCAGCCTGTGGGCAGTCCGGGAGCTTCCCCTCTCTTACCCCCGACTTCCTGAGCTCTGACCCTAATCTTTGGTGCTTGTTTTTCCTTCTAGGGACTTTTCCTTTTGCCTCTCCCAATGGGCAGGGGGTAGGGCTGTGGACACTCGAGGAGCCCTACCCTAAGTCTTCCAGGTTTAAATGGGAAATCTTGGTATCTTGACATGTACTGAGCAAGATCATTTGTGAGCTAAGAAAGTTAAAGCAATTCCCCGTTCGGTGTCTAAATTCCCAGAGCAGGTCTAGGTCTGGGAGGGAGGTGTTAAAGAGCCCGCATCAGCCAGGATGCTCTGCATCCATTCCAGAAATGTGTGAGGGCGTCGGCTGCGTCTTGATTCATTCACTTGTCGGTTGTTCAATAAGCACTTATTGAAGCAGTGATTTCCAAGTTGGGTCTGAAGAGAGGGCCCGGATTGGGGCGAAGTCAGAAATGCCAACCTGTAGATCCAATTCGGAAACCCCAGGATTTCCTTGGGCAGTTGGCAGAGCTGGTTGTGTTGGAGGAGAATTGAGGGTCACCCCCAGATTTCTGGCCCGAGGGACTGAAATGTCTGGTGTCCTAAACCAGGACAGCAAAATCAAGCAACAGTGGCTTGGAGGGGAAGACAAAGACTTCCGTTTGGGGCAGGCTGAACTTGAGGTGTGGGGGTGGGGGCTTCCCAGGGGAGACAGGCCAAGGAAGGAACCAGAAGCTCAGGCAGAAGCTGGGGTGGGAGAGGGCGGTGGAAGCTGCCGCTTACAGTAGTGAGGATGAGGAGGTCTGGAGTGAGTGAGAAGGCTAAGGGCCAGGTTGGAGCCCTGGGGGCAGGTGCAGGAAGATAGATCCACCCGCCCCCATCAAGGAGACCATGAGTGGATGGTCGAGCCCAGACGGCCAGAGGAGAACCCTGGGGGCTCAGGGTCATCGACAGAGTTGAAGTGACAGCAGGGTCACAGGTAGCTGAGAACTGGACATGCTGGGAGGAACTGGGTGACACAGAAATCAGTGAGGTGCTGGGTGGGGGAGCCGAAAGGGTGCACCGTGAGCACTTCGTATACACGTTCGGAGAAAAGGGAAGGAGTTGGATTAGACCATGTGGAAGAGTTGGGCAGAAACGGAGAGAGATGATGGAGGAAGGGATGGTCCCAAAGCCCCCCAGGTGCTGGCCTGGGACCTGCTGCAGATGAAATCTGAGTGGACCCCCACCTGCAGGCAGATGGGAGCAGAACTGCTCTGGCTGAAGCAGTGGGGGGTGCAGGGCCCAGGGCTCTGCCCACCTGGGCTCACCCTCACCTCCAAGGAGTGTCACCACAGCCTTGGAGTCCTCCAGAAGCGGGCACGCAGAGGGCTGTCGAGGCCCCTACTAGTGTAGACGGGCAGGGCTCTCAAGGGCCTGGCTTGACCCCAGAAGGTTCTGGAAAGCCCTCCACACTCTGCCCATCTCCACTCCCAGTGGCTCACAGGGGCGAGGACATGACCCCCTCAAGCCGTGCCCCTGAATGGCAGCCTTTACACCTGGCATGGGGCTTGGACTTTGATTTCCTGATAATGTACCACAGCCGCCGTGACAACAGAAACAATAATGTGTTGAGTCTGTACTGTGTATTAGCAACGATCTTTGCTCTTGACCTGAGCCCTCCTTGGGTGCCCCTGGTGGCCAGCAGCCAGACTGGGCACCCCTACCTCCCCAAGCACCACTCTTTGCAGTGACCCCACTGCCACCTTATCCCCCTGGGGCATGCCTGGTGATCCCACCCAGACAGGCTATGCCAGCTTTCCCTGCCCCCTCCTGCTACAGCCCCTTGATGTTCAAAGATTTAATAATTAGGGTTTCAACCATTTGGAAGAAAGACCGCAACCCCAAGAAGCGTGACATGTAAGGAATGGTAGAAATTTGAACAGACAGTGGTGAGTGGGGATGAACCTGGGAGAGGAACAATGACAAGTAGATAAATGGGGCTAAGGTAGGGTCCCTGATTCCACACAGACTCCCAGTCCCAACTCATCCAGGAGAAGGGACGGGAGGGCGTGCTTCATTAGATGAAATGAATTAGGAGATGAGCTTCCCAGTGGGGATGCACCAGGGAGGGTTTCCTTAGGATAGTGAACGCCAAGGAGGGTGTTCTGTGCAGCCCCAGTCCCGTAAGATGTTCCTTGAGGTCAATTAAACTTGGGAAGACCACTGGGCTTTCTCATTCCTATGGAAGCCTTCCAAAACACATCACCACTTAAAGCAGTGGTTCTCAACCTCTGGCCCTTTAAATACAGTTCCTCATGTTGTGACCCAACCATAAAATTATTTTCGTTGCTACTTCATAACTGTAATGTTGCTACTGTTATGAATCGTCATGTAAATATCTGATATGCAGGATGGTCTTAGGCGACCCCTGTGAAAGGGTCGTTCGACCGCCAAAGGGGTCACGACCCACAGGTTGAGAACTGCTGACTTAAAGGCTCTGAAAAGTCCTACAATAGCAAAACCTTGTGCCACCCAGCATTTCCCATACTCACTTGGTTATGGAAATTTTTATATATATTTACTAGGGGCCCGATGCATGGATTCGTGCACCCGTGGGGTCCCTTGGCCTGGCCTGCACCCTCTCTCAATCCAGGACCCCTCAGGGGATGTCAGACTGCTGGTTTCTGCCTGATCCCTGCATGAATCAGTGCACCGAGCCTCTAGTATGCATATAAGATCTTTTGTTAATCTCTTCTTGCCTTCCCTCCTTCCCTCCTTCCCTCTTCCCTCTGAGATTCATCAGTCTGTTCCATGTTTCCATGCCTGTGAATTGAGCATCTGCCTCCTGGTGGTCAGTGCATGTCATAGCTATTGGTCGAACGGTTGAATGGTTAGCCTGTCGCTTAAGCTTTTATCTATATATAGATTTTTATTGATTTTGGAGAAGGAAGAGGGAGGGAGAGATAGAAACATCAATGATGAGAGAGAACCACTGATCGGCGGCCTCCTGCACGCCCTACACTGGCGATTGACCATATAACCTGGGCATGTGCCCCAACTGGGAATCAAACTGTGACCTTCTGGTTCATAGGTTGATGCTCAACCACTGAGCAACATTGGCCAGACAGCCATGGAAAATTTTTTAAAGTAACCTCATTAATATTTCTCAGAAGAGCCCCGATCCACACTTTGGGAAGTAATGATACAGACAAATTGACAAAAATGAGATGTCTCTTGCAGACATCAGGGGTCTTATGTGTTGCCCTCCCTGCTCCCATCATACCACATCCACCCCAAACATTCTAGCGCTGTTCTCTGTAACCCTGACTCCGAGGTCTGCCCTCGCCTGTCCATGAGCCACAGAAGGATGCAGAAGGAAACTTACTGGGGCAGAATTCTCTGAAAGCCATCTTGGAGCAGAAGGGTGAAAGAATCCGCCCACACAGCTCTGACTTCACCTGCAGAGACAGAAACAGAGAGATGACGGGGTGCCCGCACAGCACCCACCGACCTTACAGGCTGTGTGCTCATGTTCCCTGGGCTGTCAGCCTCAGGGGAGAGGATGGTGACTTTGAGAGCAAGTGCCCATTCTGCCTGGGGGTTGGGGGAGCTCTGTGCTGCAGAGTATGGGGTGCTAGAGCAGGGATAGGGCAGATTTGTGCTGGGGTCTCCATGGTGGGTGGACATCTCTCCTGGGTGGGTCCTTGATTGGGAATAGATGTCATGGAGTTCTCCTGACTCATGAACCTGCGAGATCCCAGGGCCTCAGTCAACTGCAACAGGCCATGGCGTCCTGGGCATCTTATAGCTGTTGGGACTAGAAGGACCCTTAAAGACCGGCCCAATGTCCTTGTTTTTAAAAATTTAAAACATTTTTTAATATTAGTTTTTAATAATTCTTTATTGTTGAAAGTATTACATATGTCCCCTTTACCTCCCCATTGACTCCCCCCAGCCAGACCCAATCCACTCCCCCTGCCCCAGGCCTTCAGCACCCTGTTGTCTGTGTCCATGGGTTATGCATTCAAGATCATTGGTTGATTACCTCCCACCCACCCTCCCCCACCTTCCCTCTGAGATTCCCCACTCTGTTCCATGCTTCCATGCCTCTGGATCCACTCCGTTCATCTGTTTATTTTGTTACTTAGATTCCACATATGAGTGCAACCATGTGATGCTTGTCTTTCTCTGACCGACTTATTTCACTTAGTATGATATTCTCCAGGTCCCTCCATGTGATCTCAAAGGGTATTTTTTAACTGTTGTATAGTATTCCATGGTATAAATGTACCACAGCTTTTTTAAAAAAAAAATATATTTTATTGATTTTTTACAGAGAGGAAGGGAGAGGGATAGAGAGTTAGAAACATTGATGAGAGAGAAACATCGATCAGCTGCCTCCTGCACAGCCCCTACTGGGGATGTGCCTGCAACCAAGGTACATGCCCTTGACCGAAATCGAACCTGGGACCTTTCAGTCCGCAGACCGACGCTTTATCCACTGAGCCAAACCAGTTAGGGCTACCACAGCATTTTTTATCCACTCCTCTGCTGATGGGCACCTGGGCTGTTTCCAGATCTTGGCTATTGTAAATTGTGCTACTATGAACATAGGATAGGGGTGCATACATTCTTTCTGATTGGTGCTTTGGGTCTCTTAGGATATATTCCTAGAAGTGGGATCAGTGGGTCAAATGGCAGATCCATATTTAATTTTTTGAGGAAACGCCATACTGTTTTCCATAATGGTTGCACCAGTCTGCATTCCCACCAGCAGTGTACTAGGGTTCCCTTTTCTCTACATCCTCGCCAGCACTTGTCATTTGATTTGTTGATGGTAGCCATTCTGACAGGTGTGAGATGGTACCTCACTGTAATTTTGATTTTCATCTCTCAGATGATTCATGACTTTGAGCATTTTTTCATATGTCTCTTGGCCATCTGTATGTTCTCTTTGGAGAAGTGTCTGTTTAGGTCCTTTGCCCATTTTTATATTGGATTCTTTGTCTTTTGTTAAGTTGTATGAGTTCCTTATATATTTTGGATATTTACCCTTTATCAGATGTATCATTGCCAAATACGTTCTCTGATACAGTGGGCTCTCTTTTCCTTTTGTTGATGGTTTCTTTTGCTGTGCAGAAGCCTTTTATTTTGATGTAGTGCCATTTGTTTATTTTCTCCTTAGTTTTCTTTGCCTTAGGAAATGTATCTGTAAACATATTGCTACTAGAGGTGTCTGAGATTTTGCTGCCTATGGTTTCTTCTATGATTTTTATGGTTTCATGGCTTACATTTAAGTCTTTTATTCATTTTGAGTTTATTCTTGTATGTGGTATAAGTTGGTGGCCTAGTTTCATTTTCTTTTGCATGTATCTGTCCAATTTTCCCAACACCATTTATTGAAGAGACTCTCTTGACTCCATTGTATGCTCTTGCCTCCTTTGTCAAATATTAATTGAGCATAATGGCTTGGGTGGATTTCTGGGGTCTCTGTTCTGTTCCATTGATCTATATGCCTATTCTTGTGCCAGTACCAGGCTGTTTTGATTATGGTGGCTTTCTAATATAACTTGAAATTTGGTATTATAATTCCTCCAACTTTGTTTTTCTTTCTCAAAATTGTTGCAGCTATTCAGGGTCTTTTTTGGAGTCTTTGTTCTAGATCTGTGAAATATGCCATTGGTATTTTAATAGGGATTGTATTGAATCTATAGATTGCCTTGGGTAGTATGGACATTTCAATGATGTTGGCTTTTACCAGTGCATGAACACGGTATATTCTTCCACTTGTTTATATCTTCTTCTATCTCTTTTTTTAATGTCCTGTAGTTTTCTAAGTACAGGTCTTTTGTCTCCTTGGTTAAGTTTATTCCTAGGTATCTTAATTTTCCCCCCTCATTTGAGAAAGTCTATTGTTACATTTTACTAGATGAGACACCACTATCTACTGCTCCTCCAACATCTCAATACAAAAGACAATAATCCAGGGTGACCAGTGACATGAAGACAAAAAATTACAAAAGACGAGGCTTTAGAGACAAGGACTAGTCTACGTGTAGAAAGTTGTAAATGTTTAGTTCAGCCTCACAAATAGTAACTTCTCCGGTTAGGGCGCCTCCCAGGACTAGAGCAGCGCCTAGGACGCCTTCCTCCACCGGCCAGGGACGCGGGGCTCAGCGAGAAACCCACAGGGGTGAGGCCCCCCCACCAGCTGGTCGGGGTCCTGGCCTCCAGCCATCCTCGCTCAGGGCCTCCAGCGGGCCTGCCGGGACCCAGCTGCCTCTCCTGAGCCCCGTTTCCCCGTCGGGGAGGACCAGCCCGCTCCTCACACCCCTGAGACCGGGCGCCCCGGCCCCCCCTCCCCCGCCTCCAAAGGCGACCCTGACCTCAGAACCGCCTGCCTGAGCTGCGCTGCGCCCCTCCCCTCTGGGCCACACTGCTCGTGGGCCGGGCCTGGGCCACAGCCTCAGCTCCGGAGAGCCGCAGGGGTCAGCACCCGCACGGCAGCTGCTTTCTGACCAGAGTCCGACCTCAGCACACACCGAGGACCTGCACGGAGGTGACTCAGGAGCAGGCGCCCTCCCTGCCCTCGGGGCCGGGCCTGCTGACCTGGAGCCGAGGGAGGCGCCAAGGGACTCAGGAGGGGCCCAGGGCGGCCTTAGGACCAGGGCCCGGGACGGGACGGGGCCAGTGCATTCCCGTGCCAGCCACCGACCGGGAAGCTCGTCTTCCTTCTCTCAAGTGCCTCGCGAGCCCTACCCTCCGGGAATCGCCGCGGAGTGACCCGCAGCGGCCGGGCCCTGGAATGCAATGCGCGGGGCAGCGTGGCCCCGGCGGGGCGGGCCTCCACTGGGCCCGCGAGCACCTGTCCCTCCCGCAGCGCCCGCACCCCGAGCTGGGAGTACAGTGTTGGGTGGAGCTGCAGAGGCAGAGACCTGGGTAGGACCCGGACGGAGGGCGGCCTGAGGAGGGGCAGTGGCTGTAAGCGGCACTGGGGTGGCGGCGGCCTGCAGGACCCAGGTGGGTGCGGCGTTGGGGCTCACTGAAGGTCAGTGTCTGCGGCGCACAGGCCGCCGTGCTGGACACGGACACGGGCTGTGCTAACCCGGCAGCTCCCAGAAGCCCGCCCACGGGAAGCCCGGGCGCCAAACAGTCACCTGCAAGGCGGTGGGTGTGTCTTTGCGGGGAGGGAGGGGAAGAGGGGAGGGGGAGGGAAGGGCAGGGCAGGGCAGGGTATGAGCACCAGCCACCGAAGGGACATGCCCTGTCCATGCGACCCGGGGCGGCACTGGCCTGCGTCTGCGCACTGGGCCGCCTACACACTCCCGGCTCTGGGTTCGTGGCAGGGAAGACCTGCAGGTCGCAGCGGTTCTCAACCTGTGGGTCGCAACCCCTTTGGCGGTCGAACGACCCTTTCACAGGGGTCGCCTAAGACCATCCTGCATATCAGATATTTACATGACATTTCATAACAGTAGCAACATGACAGTTATGAAGTAGCAACGAAAATAATTTTATGGTTGGGTCACAACATGAGGAACTGTATTTAAAGGGTCAGAAGGTTGAGAACCACTGGAGGGAGAGCCGGGCAGGGCGTTAGAGAACGCGCTCGCACCTGCGCGCACATGCACACGTTCACACACCTGGACACGCAGGCGCACACGCCGCTAGGTGACGCTGTCGGAAGGCAATGGCGTTTCTGTGGAAAACTGTCGGAGTCACACCAGCTGCCGCCGCCGCGCCGGAGTCTCAGTAGTATACCCTCCCAGGATTCTGCAGCTCGCTGCAGGCATGTACAAGCGCGCGCGCACGCACGCACACGCACGCACGCGCACGCGCGCTTCTGGCGCCCCCTCCCCAGGAGGGCGGGGCCGGTGGGCGGGGCCAGGCGCGCCCTCACCGCAACCTGATATTCGTGTCCCTGACGGGCGTGCAACGCGGAGCGGGTTTCTCCGTGTAGATGGGCGGTGTTGAAGTGGGGGAAGAGTTGTCCGGGAAGTACTTCCCCGACGCACCCAGCTGGAACGCGCTCCTGCGGCTGACGGCCCCCCGGATGCCCGAGTGCCCCCAGAGGGCACGCAGGGCCGCATGTACCGCCGGAAGGTGGCCTTGTTCTCGAAGGCATGAGGAACATGCCATGCTTCTTGTTCTCCGAGTGCTGCCGCGGGATGCCCAGCTTGACCCCGCGCGTCAACGAGGACCTTGAAGATGTTGTCGGAGATGGTGTCGCGGAACTGGAGCAGCCCTTCTGGTCGAACTCGTGGCGGTGGATGATGCGCATCTGCTTGAGGAAGGTGGACTTGCCGCTCTCGTCCGGCAGCAGGACCTTGACCTGCCCCTCATGGATGTCCCCGCTGCCGCCGCCTCGGCCGGCAGCAGGCAGGGCTCGGGGTCCGCACCAGCCGGACGTGTCCGCTCAGGGCTTGGACCCCGCGGCGGCTCCCTCAGGCTGTGTCCATGCCGTTACCAGTATCTTTTTAAAAAAAGTATATTTTATTGATTTTTTACAGAGAGGAAGGGAGAAGGATAGAGTTAGAAACATGGATGAGAGAGAAACATCGATCAGCCGCCTCCTGCACACTCCCCCCTGGGGATGTGCCCGCGACCAAGTACCTGCCCTTGGCCGGAATCGAACCTGGGACCCTTCAGTCCGCAGGCAGGGCCGCCACCAGTATCTTAATTTTTTTGTTGTAATGGTAAATGGGATTGTTTGCTTAGTTTCTCTTTCTGAGAATTCTTTTTTTTTTTGTCTTGAAAAATTTTAAAATGTTTAATAATAAATCATTCAACTTTTTCCACAGTCTTTATGAAGTTGTTTTTTTTTGCTGGTGAAATTTATTTTAAAAGTCCTCGCGTAAACTAATCAAGACTAACAAATTTTTTTAATGAACCCTCAAAAAAATCTTTTTAATATATACCTTATTTCTTGGGATGACAATAGCATTATTATATATTGTTTTCTTTTTTATTCAAATATACTGTTTTCAAGGTTAATGGTTATTAACAAATCTTTATTATTAATACTCGGCTAAGGCAGGATAGAAGCATGATACTTTAAAATTTCTTTTCAATAACTTTTATAGTAATTTTAAAAATATTTATTGATTTTAGAGAGAAAGGAAGAGAGAAATAAATATCAATGATGAGAGAGAATCATTGATGGGCCGCCTCTTGCAAGTCTCGCCCTGGGGACTGAGCCTGTATCCTGGGCATGTGTCCTGACCTGGAATCATGCCGTGACCTCCTTGGTTCCTAGGTCGATGCTCAACCACTGAGCCACGCCGGCCGGGCTGTTGTTCCACTTTTTTATGCATATATTGATTGAATCTTATATGTGCCCTGATTGGGGACTGAACCTGCAGCTTTGGTGTATTGGGATGACCCTCTAACCCAGTGGTCGGCAAACTGCGGCTCGCGAGCCACATGCAGCTCTTTGGCCCCTTGAGTGTGGCTCTTCCACAAAATACCACGTGCGGGCGCGCACGTACGGTGCGATTAAAACTTCGTGGCCCATGCGCAGAAGTCGGTATTTTGTGGAAGAGCCACACTCAAGGGGCCAAAGAGCCGCATGTGGCTCACGAGCTGCAGTTTGCCGACCACTGCAACCAACTCAACTATCTGGTGAGGGTGAACTATTTTATAGTAAAAAATTACTTGGCATTAAGTATTTTTATGATCAAATTATAAAAACAATCTTTAGTCCCAACTGAACTTGGTACTCTAAGATTAAAAAATTTTTTAAAAATATTTACATAATATAATTTAAATCTCTAAGTTCTTCCTCATCACTGAAACAATGTGCTTTTCTTTATCCTTGGGTGTCTTGAATCATCAGAAGTTGAGGACCCCCTGAACTGGGTTTCCACTTTTTTTGTTCTTCAGTTTTGGCTTGCTGGAAAGCTATGGCCTGACTGAGGCTGTCAAGAGCGAATCTCCTCCTTCATCTTCACTTTCTTCTACGTCTTCAGTTTCTTCTTCTGGTTCAGGAATTTTCTTTTCTTTTTTTTTCTTTTTCTCTTTCTTCTTTGGAGGTTCACGCTCTCCAAGCATATTTTTAGGACAGGCATAACTTAAGTGTCCACTTTCCCCACTTTCCCCACACTTAGATTTATCAAAGTAGTTTCGTCTTCGGATGAACTCAGCGGCTCTTCCACTGTCAATAGCAATGCTTGCTTTTATCACTCTACCAAATAACTGTTTGTTGTTTATTGTCCTGGTACAGTTTTGTGCAGATTCTTTATCCAAAAATAAAATAGCCCTAACCGGTTTGGCTCAGTGGATACAGCGTCGGCCTGCGGACTGAAGGGTCCCGGGTTCAATTCCGGTCAAGGGCATGTACCTTGGTTGCGGGCACATCCCCAGTAGGGGCTGTGCAGGAGGCAGCTGATCGATGTTTCTCTGTCATCGATGTTTCTCACTCTCTATCCCTCTCCCTTCCTCTCTGTAAAAAAATCAATAAAATATATTTTTTAAAAATAAATGCAACACCTTTACTGGTATCTTTAATTATAGTAACCTTTACAACCTTGCCATACTTGGAAAATATCTGGTATAAGTCATTGTTGGTCAGGGAAAAGGGCAAGTTGGATAACATACACTGTACTTTTACTTGGGGCCAGTCCATCACTCATTTCTTCAAGTGGGGCGGGCCTGGGCGATCGGAAGAGCGCGAGCCCTCGGCTCCGGGAGGGCTCAACCCCTACAACTCCTTGCCCCTTGCAGTGGCCTCAGCACTGCAGGGGCTGGGAAGGGTCTGGTGCTGCGGACCAGAAGGCAGCGCCTACAAAGCCTCTTCCCTGCTCACTTTAGACACCGGCGTGGGCCCGGAGGCAGGCGCTTTCAAGAATTCTTTATTGGTGTATGAAAGAGCCCTCATTTTCTGGGTGTTGATTTTGCTACATTGCCAAATTCATTTATTATATCCAGTAGCTTTTTGGTGGAGTCTTTAGGATTTTCTATGTACAATATCTTGTCATTTGCAAATAATGAGAATTTTACTTGCTCCTTTCCAGTTTGAATGCCTTTTATTTCTTCTTGTGTGAGTGCCGTGGCTAGGGTTTCCAGTACTATCCTCCTATCTAATAAAGAGGTAATATGCAAATTGAGCATCCCTCCAACACAGATGGCTGCCCCATGTGGTCAAAGATGGCCACCCACATGTGGACACAAGATGGTGCCACAGGTGAGGAGCTGAAGAACTAGGGCTGCACAGAGGAGCCTGTGTCTGCCTTGGGCAGCATGCTGCTTTTAGAACATGGTAATCGAGTTGAACACAAAGTATAGTAACTGATCTCCCTTCTTCCTGGATGAGCGCGCAATAGTGGTGAAATAGTGGTGTCAGCACCCTGAACATGCCCGGGTGGGCAGTGCCCGGCTACTGCTTTTTAAATTGATGCTGTGCTTTGGCGTGGCCCAAGCTGTGAAGCGTTGCTGGGGCTTCTCTCCTGTGGAGCGCTGATACTCACACCGCGGGTTCGGTGAATATTGGTTGGGGCAAGTCTTGCCTGCCTCCACTTGGTCATCTTTATATGAATCCAACGAGGTGTGTGGAGGGGGATTATTGTTTTTGTTTGTTCGTTTTGGTCTTTCTGAAACGGTTTTTAGGTGATGTTCATGAAGGGCAGTCCGTACCTAGAACTGTGCCACTAATGAGAGGAAAACCTGTCCGAGAAGGTGCGTCTTCCCACAGCTGCTGTCCCACCCTTGGGGCCTCTGCTGGGAAAACAGAATCAAGTCTCAAACAATGCCTTTTTAATTGTATCTCTAGTATTATAGACGTAGGGCAGTACTGTATCATACCTCTGTGAATGTAAAATACCTCGTACCTGCTTTATGATACATAGTAATGACCGTGCTTTATCAGAGCTGTTTTTAATGATGTTATCCTAGAATGTTTTCTTTCCAGGTGATGATGGAGAAGCTTAAGAAAAAAATGGTGCCAGGTACCACAACAGTGACAGAACTTTGCTGATTTCTGGAGATTTGTTTTTTACTTTTTTTTTTTTTTTTTTTTTTTTTAAGAGTGTGCTGGATGTCTATAATTTTGTTCAGATGACTGCATAACCTGGAAAAGCTGTTGCTGCTTTTGATGCATAACATACAGCTATTGGTCTTTTTATATAAATAAATAAATATATATACATATATATAATTTGAATTTTTGGAAACTTTAGCTGTGCTGTCAACTTTGGAAAAACTATCCCAATTGTACTGTGTTGGGTTGGCATTGTGCAGAAAGTAACAGCCATATTGGTCTAGAAACGTTCAACATAATTTTTTTCCATTTGTACAGGGGTAACGCACTGTATTAAATATGTAAGGTCTTAATCTACATGGGTTTAATTACAGAAACTAATAAAGTATTCTCTAAAAAAAAAAAAAAAGGTGCCACAAGATGGCCAGCAGGGGAGGGCAGCTGGTGGGGGTGGGGGTGGGGGGACCAGGCCTGCAGGGGGAGGGCAGTTAGGGGTGACCAGGCTGGCAGGGGAGGGCAGTTAGGGACAATTGGGCTGGCAGGGGAGCAGTTAGGCATCGATCAGGCTGGCAGGGGAGTGGTTGGGGGTGACCAGGCTGGCAGGCAGAAGCGGTTAGGGGCAATCAGGCAGGCAGGCAGGTGAACAGTTGGGAGCCAGCAGTCCTGGATTGTGAGAGGGGTCCCAGATTGGAAAGGGTGCAGGCTGGGCTGAGGGACACCCCCCCACCCCGTGCCTGAATTTCATGCACCGGGCCTCTAGTCCTATATAATAAAAGGGCAATATGCAAATTGACCCCAACAGCAGAATGACCTGGAATGACTGGTTGCTATGATGCGCACTGACCACCAGGAAGCAGAT